TATAAAGACTTAGGTTTCGAACCGCGTTTACTAGGAACGGATTTTCTTATTAATATTATTAATCGGCGCCGTACGTATCCTTAGGGCTATAAAAGCTATTATCCTAACGGTAGTTCCGCGAAGTTATCTTTATCTCTAGAGCGTTAAATCGGTCGTAGAAGGCCTATATACTAACTTTCTAACTAGTATTTAGGTAGCCGTAAGAGGGTTTAGGCTACGAAGAAGGCGGTAGTAAAGGTATTTAAAGGCTAGGAATCGCTAATCGTTAAACTATTTACATTATAGGCTTTTCGGGTTCTTTAAAAGTTACCGTTTTTTATTATCGTCGTTCTTCGGCTTAGGCCCTATCGGTAATTTATATTACTATACGACGTTCCGCCTACTTATAAAGCTAGGTATAAAGAATCCGGTAATCGATATTTCCGATCTTATTATAATTATAATCTTCCGTTTTATAGAACTTTATAATTAAGGATATCTAGAATTTATCGGTTAAGTATCCTACTTTTTAAGGAAGCTTTCCGTTATCGTTTATAAGCTTAGAAAGACGTTTATAGTTTATAAGATACGTAAAGATCGCCTTAAGATCGCTAATTACGTTACTTCGTTCTAGCTATACGAATTTACGTTTAACGTTAGCTTAGCTTAGTTTATCGGTAATCCTAAAACGGTACTTTAGGGCTATAACGATAACTCTTTAAATCGTTTAATCCTTCGTAACGTCGTTAATACGCTCCTTAATAATCTTAATCGTAGTTTATTCGCCGATCTCCTTAATCTTATCGTCGTCGCTTATACGATAGCGGTTAAATAATCGATCTACCTTCTTTAGTTACTAGGTTATATTATATTTATTAAACTTAAGCCTAGGGTAATCGGTAGGGTTAAGAAACCTAATGGCTAGTATTACGATAGTCGGGGTAGCTATCGGTATATTCTAGTTATTAAAAGCCCCGTTATTATTATTCTAAGATAATACTATAAGGATTAGCGGGATAAGTATAGAGCCGCGGGTAAGGAATAGCTAAATAGGAGTTTTATCGTCGTCTTCCTTTTCTTCGGGCGGATATAAAGGCGGAGAGCTAATATCGACTCTTAAGGTCTTTATTAATAGTTTAGTTTTTATTACTTCGGGTCCTAACGGCGATTTACTCCGTTTCTTAGCTACGGATTCCGTTTAGTTTATCGGTACGAGGTATAAAGTAAAAAGAGGAGTAGTAAAGGTTTTATTATTTAATATAGGGGTAAAGGTATAATAGCTATTATTTATATCTTAATACTTTTCCTTTAGTATGGATATATTATTATTTATTATATTATCTCGATCGATAAGGTCCGGGTATTATACGAGCTTTTTTAATCGGCTAACGCCTAATTAAAGTACGATACGTATTCCTTAGATTAATAATTTAATTATTATAAATAAGTCGACGATAATTCCTTCTATTAAGGTCTAAAACTCCTAACGTATAACCTTCGTTAAGGTAATACGTATAAGGAATGGATTCCGAGTAAAGAATCGCGCTAGATACGATACCGGTTATAGTTATAGGCCGGTTTCGATTTAACGGAAGCTATTTAATAATATTAACGGTATTACCGCTAGGCGTCGTTTTACGCCTATGTTAGTATTTCTCGCTATACTAGCTATTAGTTAGTAATATAGGGCTAGCCTATATATAGGTATACCTATTAATTTAACTTTAATTCCGTTTCCCTAATCCTTTATATCTACGTAGTTTTATTAATATTAATTCTTAGTTCTCTTTAAAACTATCGGTTATTAGTAGCTATTAGTTTATTAATTTTTATCTATATTATTAATGTAAATATTTATATTATATCGTATACTATATCGTCGAATCGCTACGCCTAGGTATCCTAAAATGCCTTTAGTATAATAAGTTATTAGTATTTATATATTTAATCTATATCGATTAATAGGTTTAGAAGGAAAAAGAAACTATCGTAAGGTCGGTTAAGGTATAATTATTATTAGCCTTTATCCGCCTTTAATATTAATAAAGGAGTAGCGGGTCGTATAGGTTATCGTAATTTATATTAAGGCGTTCGTACGTCCTCTATATAATAAATGAATAACTATAAGAGGCTACCTTAATCGCTATAAGCTTTATTTACTCGTACGAGATATACTATGCTATTAGCGGTTCGAGGAAGCGGTTAGTATCGAGGGCTAAGTATTATCCCTAGTAGCGGTAATATTACGACGAAAGTTCTCCCGGGTTTTACGGGTTCTTCCGTATGATAAATAAATAACTATACGAAGGATATCCTAATCGGTATAAACGCGATTTAATCGTCGTATTATATCGTAGTATCGATAGCTTATTAACGTTATAAGTATTAAAGGTTAAGCGTTATCCTAATAGCTACGGTATCGTTATAAAAGTTCCCGGGTTTATACGTACCTCCTTATAATAAATAAATAACTATAAGACGGGATATTTTATTTAACGTAAAACGCGGGCTACTTCGCGGGTTAAATAGCGGCGCCGACGGCGATCGGTATCCTTTAAATCCTAATAGCGTAATAAAAACTCCGTAAATTAAAGGTTAAGGGGTCGAAAAAGTTATAGGGTAATCGCTACTAAGGAGGAATAAAGCGTACGCGATATTAAAAACCCGGATAGGTTTATTCGAAAGTATACTTTATCGAAGACTATAATACGTACGATAGTCTAAGATAAATGAAATTAATATCGCTATATTAATCGAGAGGCAAGGAATTTAATGTAGTTATCGTATCTTAGCTATGCCCTTTAATCGTAAAGATATAATAGTCGCTAGCCCGAAGATATAAGAGATAAGGAAAGAAAAGGGGTAAAACGTAAAAGTTACTTATTCGGCTATAGCGGTACGACGAAGTAACTTAAGCGCCTATAATTAAAATAAATACATTAATCGGAGAACGATAAATTTAATAGTAAAAACGAATCTTTAATTAAGGTAAAAATAATAAAGATAGTAATCTAACTAGGTAATAATTTAGATAATAAGCATGGTATATCCCGCACTTACGGGAGCTATGGTTACTCTATATAGGCATAAGGCCTATCGTAGCGTGTTACGTAATGCATTAAGAGGGTATGTCTTACCGCACCACTACAGTAGTTAGAAAGGAGAATTTAGTAACCCTTATACGAAAAGTTTGGATAACAGAGATAAAGTTTGGTTGATAGGGAAAAAGCTCGGCAAAATCGCCTAATCCGGTTAGAGGTTAGGGTAAGGTACAAGGGACTAGTTAGGCTGATCTGAGACCTCTTCCTTACCTCTTATGCCTTCGGGCTAGCGACTACTATATCTCTACGACTAAGAGGCATAGCTAAGATACGATAACTACATTAGATTCCTTGCCTTTCGATTAGTATAGCGATACTAGTTTCATTCATTCTAGATTATCGTACGTACTATAGTCTTCGATAGAGTGCACTTTCGAGTAAACATATCCGGGTATTTAGCATCGCATACGCTCTACTCCTCCTTAATACTTTTATATATTTCGAGAAAAAAAATTAATTTTATTATTATTATTAATTAAATAAAAGTTCTTTCTTAAAACTTATTTATCTTTAATATTAAGTTTTATTAATAGATCTTTTATTATAAATTTTAATATTAAGATTTTAAGTTTAAGTTTCTTTATAAATTCTTTTCTTAAAAAACTTTATTATTAGATTCTTTTAATACTATTTTACTTATATTAAACTACTAAAATATAATATAAAGTTATAATAAATATATATAATGTTAAAATAAAAAGAAAAATTAGTAAAATATAAAAATGAATATATAAATATAAAAATTAAAAAATTAAAAAATATTTTAATAATAATATAAATATAAAAATATATAATAAAAATAAAGTAAATGTTTTATATTAATAATAATAATAATTATAATTATAATTAGTATTAAAGGAAAATTTTTTTAAAAATTCTTAAAATTTAAGTTTTTTTTAAGTTTTTTAAGTTAAGTTTTAAGTTTTTAAGTTAAGTTTAAGTTTTTCTTAAAAAAGTTTAAGTTAAGTTAAGTTTTTTTTCTAGAAAACTTTTTTTTTAAGTCAAGTTTAAGTTAAGTTCGAAATTGCTTAAGTTAAGTTAAGTTCGGGCCGAACTTAACTTAAAAACTTTTTTTTACAACCCTGCTTCCAGTGCCATGCGGGAGCGCAATGCGAGGTTGGACTTCGAAACTCGGGCGAGATTAAATTAAGCATTGGATCTGGACTTCGACGAGCCACCCAATACAGCATTTCCACGAGTATGCGGATATGCGGCATACTACAATGAATGTCCTTCCTCACCTCGCGCCTCACACGTGAGCCGCGAGCGAACCAGCCATAACGAACTCTGCCGTCCAACCAACCCGATGAACCGCGCCCCCCCGCCCGGGCGCAGGTTTCGGGCACGTTCATGAATATGTATGTATGTATGTATGTATGTATGTACTCATACGTATGTATGTATGGTGTGTATGTATGCGCGCACGCAACACGGTGGTGGGATATCGGTATCTAGCATGGCGCCTTGCTGCCAACCTCCGGGATCTTCCTGCATGAAGCCGACACCAACCTGTACATACATGCGTACGTGGTAAGTACCTACATACCTCCTCTTGCCTACCTCCTCTACGTAGGTACCTTACCTGCATATACCTTACATCCATCCTACCCTGGGTCGGGTCGGATGTTGAGGCGATGTTTTGTTTGAAAAAAAAAAAGAAAAGAAAAGGAAAAGGGAGAAGAAAAAAGGCGGGATAATGATGGGGTCAGCCTGGCTTGTTCAGTTAGATACCTACTGTCTTACTTATATTGCTACCATCTACCCATCTATCTGCCTCCTACTATATACATCCATACCTCACACCCGTGTCGTATGCATTAGTTACATGTAGGTAGGCCGTCGCTTACGGAGGTGCCCAGACAAATGTAAGTAATGCGATTATAGGTGATATCATCCATGCACACATATACACATATATGTACGATAATATGAGGTGATCGGATGCGATCAGACCAGACCGGTAGATTCTTTTTTTTTAATAGTTTTATTACTAGGTAGAGATGGCGGAAACACCTCCATCCACCTTCCATACGCCCATGACCCATTTCCCCGTCCGCCCGCCGCCGGCACAACCAAAGCTCTGGCTGGCTAAGCTGGACACTAGGGACATCCATCACTTCTAACTCATCGCCCGCCCTCGGCGTTGTGTCCGGTCTCGCCCAGTAGTAGGCTCGCCGACGTCGATAAATCGATCGATCCGCTTTGGGGGTTCGAACCTCCGTGCTCCTGCTCCTGCTCCTGCTCCTCTTCTCTCCCCCCCTGCTCCCCCCCAAGCCCGTTGAGCTCTGCTCTCCGGCTGCCACATGTCCATCCCGTCCGCTCGTCCGCCTTCGTTGTCATCGTCGTCGTTGTCGCTACCGTTGTTGTCCACCCTTCCCCTTCGACCAACCTGCCTCCCTGCTCCCTGCTCGCGCTTACTCCCTCACCCCATTTTCCCTTCTCTGTACGCTTGATTGCTCCCCGTCGTGCTCCTGCGTATATATTGTACGACGACTTCGTGTTTCTCAACAATATATCTCCAACTAGAGGCTGCATACTGCTCGTACCAGCACACGTGAGCGACATATTTGTGTTGAACGCAAACGGGCAGACCGAGGGAGAGACGATGACGACGACGATGCAGCATCTATTGAAACTTGGCAGCATCGCGACCAGCCAGCCAGCCAGCCAGCCAGCCCCCTCTCAGAAATAACATGCCTACCGTCGAAGGTGTGATTTGGAGGTTGGACCGTCGACCGACCGACCCTCAACAGAGTGGAGCGCTTCCGGGCGACTTGTAGGCGCATCTGCACACACGGTGGGGATGTAAGCTGGCCATCCTACCTGTCTGCGTGCTTGCCCACACCAGATTTCTGTGTATGCACATACGCATGCATACGCGTGCATATGTACATATGAGTAGGTAGGTAAGTATGCACGTATGATTGTAAGTTCCTCGGCACTGGCGATGAAGGGAATGAGGCTATACGCTACTTTTCTTTCTTTTGACGGTCGGCTTCCGAGGTCCCTGGATAAACGAAGCCCCGCGTCGGAAGAGGGCCAACCCGACAACCTACGTAGGTATATGCCTATAAGATAGCATCCAATCCTATCTGTCTCCAGTGACGAGTTGTATCTATCTACTGTCGGCGTCTAGAGGACAGCATACGAACCATCTCTGCCTATTATTCTCGGGGGGGAGGGAACCAAAGAAGAAGGGCCATTTTTGTTCACCAACACCGCCGTTGCTGGATGGCTAGTCTGACTCGCACGGATATATATATATGCCTATGCCTATATCCCTTCAGGCGCGCTTAACTCGCGTGCCTGCGACGACCACCGCCAAAGCCCGCACCTACGCCGATGAGAATGCACCTCAAAAAGAAGGATTGAAGGTTATCGGGCTTAGCCTTGGCAACATATAAGTCCTGTTATAGGAAGTACCTAGATCCTATCCCTAAGTGGAACCAGCCTCGAATTCCGCTTCTCCTTCTCCTTCTTCTCCTCTTTCTTCTCCCTCTTCTCAGCACGTTATCTCTATAATACGTACAGATATATATATCCACATATATTTGCATAGCCAGTACCTACCTACCTGTGGCAGACTACTATAAAACGTGGTACGCAATCTCGCCCTCCTCCCCACATACGGACAATCGGCGACCTCCACCTGGAATCCACCCGTCATGCGCTGGAATCCAATTTCCTTCGCTCTCGTGTATTCGCTTAGCATTATTTATCCTCCTTCGTCCGCCCCCTTTCTCCCTGTAGAAGAGCCGGCCGGGCAGCCGGGCGGTGCCCACCTCCTGCAATGCACGAGCTGGACCGCTCGAATGATGAAGATGGTGGTGGTGACGATGGTGACAGCGAGCGCCGGCCGCCGTTCCGGCCCAGTCCCCAGGGTCCAAGACAAAGGTCCCCGGGGCGTCCTCCTCCTCTTGCTTCTTCTATGCACGTTTGTATTGCATATATATTTGTGTGTCTAGACACATGCCACGAGCATATATATCCTGCGAGCATACAAGTACAAGATAGCTACCTACCTCTGGTTCGCTCCCAATGCGACTCTATGGCTACCTACCTAGGTAGGTAGTGACCTCTCCTGTCCCTGGGGAAGACAGCGCCCAATCCCCCTTACCCGTCGGCTTCCCGTATGTAGACGCCCATGCCTACATACATGTAGTATGATGATATTCGGGATCTACCACCACCCCGGGGTGGCGTAGCCTTCTGCTCGAGACCGCCTCATGCTTTGCCTACTCGAGACGCGGGTTATATATCTTCTGCGAGTGCCCGATCACATCCCCAGTGTCTGGTCCTCCACCCCTCCTGTCCGGAATCCACCGCATCGCGTTTATCAGGAAGTCACCGGGCCTCTACTAGCAGGTGCCGTCGTATGGTCTACGGAGAAGGGCGCCGGCGATAACGGTTCAAAACAGGCCGCATGTGCTGCAGACGACTGCAGTCTACAAGTACCTTTATCGTAAACTGGTTGAGACATTGCTTACTCCCGGCCCCTAGGCCAAACAAGACCCCTGACTTACGACCCGCGATGGCTGCTTGCACGCCAAGTAGCGTGACCTCCAGTACACCTCTCTGCCGGATTGGTAAGAGTTGAGACGAGTTTCAATATCACACAATATTATTCACAGAGAACCTATCTTGGGGGTTCGTCGTAGCTACAAGCTGTCATTTGCTTTCGAGGTCCACCATTCGGTCCAGTCGCCTTTAATTTTATTTCCCCCCTTTTTGAATTTTCTTTACTCCGTCGTAGTCACGACGCAACGAATGCAGTCTCCCGCCTTCATGGCGTCGAACGCCTCGTTGATGCGGTCTAGGGTTTCACGGTGGGTGATGAACTCATCTACCTTCAACCTGCCCTCCAGGTAGTCGGTCACGAGACCTGGCAGCTGTGTCCGACCCTTGACGCCACCAAAGGCGCAACCCTTCCACACGCGGCCGGTGACCAGTTGGAATGCTACCCAACAAGTTAGCCACCAAGTCTTCTCATTCTATCGGTAGGATAGCGTCTAAACTCACGTCGAGTGGCGATCTCTTGACCGGCGGCAGCGACGCCGATGATGATGCTCTGACCCCAACCTTTGTGGCAGGCCTCGAGAGCGGCGCGCATCACGCTGACATTGCCGGTGCAGTCGAAGGTGTAATCGCAGCCGCCGTCCGTCATCTCGATGAGCTTATCCTGGACCTTCTGGCCCCCGAGCTCGAGAGGGTTAACGAAGTCGGTCGCTCCAAATTTCTTGGCCCACTCTTCCTTGGACGGGTTCACGTCGACGACGATGATCTTGCCCGCCTTCTGCGCGACGGCACCCTGGACAACCGAAAGACCGACACAGCCGGCTCCGAAGACAGCAATGTTAGAGCCTTCTTCGACGTTGGCAGTAATTCTCGCAGCGCCGTAGCCGGTGGTGATACCACAGCCTAGGAGGCAGGTTCGGTCCATGGGGGCGTCTTGCTGGACGGCGACGACGGAGATGTCGGCGACGACGGTGTACTGAGAGAAGGTCGAGGTCCCCATGAAGTGGAGCAGCTCCTTGCCCTTGCAGGTGAATCGCGAGGTGCCATCGGGGAGGACACCTCGGCCCTGAGTTGCACGGATCTTTCCGCAAAGGTTCGTCTTGCCGGACTTGCAGAACTTGCATTCCCGGCATTCGGGCGTGCTGTCGATCGACATTAGCCTGAGGGGACGGATAAACGGACGAGGGGGTCAAGGTAAGGCTCTGGAGGGGCCTTACTAGAGCGCGACGACATGGTCTCCAGGCTTTACGTTGGTGACGCCCTCGCCAACCGACTCGACGAGACCGGCTCCCTCATGCCCCAGAACGACGGGAAAAGCGCCTTCAGGGTCCTTGCCAGACAGCGTGTAGGCATCTGCTCCACAGTTTAGCAGGGTACTCGGACTTGGCTCGGGATTTCCAAGCTTGGCGAGACGTACCCGTGTGACAGACGCCAGTGTAGTAGATCTTGATTCGAACTTCGTGAGCCCTCGGGGGCGCGACCTCGATCTCCTCGATGCTCAGGGGCTTACCGGCCTCCCAGGCGACGGCGGCCTTGCACTTGATGGTCTGGCAAGAAGGGAAGGCAACGGGGTCAGCTTCACTCATGCGATATCACGGAGCTAGAGTAGGTGGAGAGGGCGGCGAGGGGTAGAGTAGACATCGTAGTACGTATGCCGCCCACGTCATATACGGCAGACCACACATCGCAGGCGGCTATGCGTATACGTGTATGCGCGGGGTAATGCACGCTGAAGATGGGACGCGACGGTGGGATCACGAACCTTGCCAACGGTATCAGCCATGGTGTTGAGTCGAGAAGGAGAGGACTAAGGCGATCGTGGAGGGAATAGAGGGAATCGGGATGGAAAAGACTCCGAGGCCTCGAGCTGCGAAGTTTTTATAATGGACGGACTCAGCAGGTGTGTCGACTTGCTCGATGCGGAGTTCTGATCGAAGCCGTCTGGGACCCCACCAATGAATATTCCCCGGTGGGGGGGGAGCCGGCACGGCAAGTGAGGAGGGGACTTGCCGACCAGCGATTATGCGATAAGAGAGTAAGGAAGGCCACCTCGAGCTACTCATGGACGTAGGGAGGGATGCCGAGAGGAGGTACCTCTGGGAACTTGGCGTCGCCACCGAGCTACCGGGTACCTACCAGGTAAGTTACCAGGTAGGTAGCGCGGTAGGTAGCGCGGCAGCTTGCTACACGTAGGTACCTAAACCCGCTAGCAGACCTGCTAGGTAGCGGGAAAAGCCCCTAATCTAGGCCTGAAAAAGGCTCGCCGGCAGCACCACCACCTCGGACGAGGGGCCACGGTGAATAGCCGTAGGTCAGCAGGTTGGGTGCCTGAGCCCAATTGATTTCCAGACAGACAGACGCGGAACCTCGAGTCCCGGCCGATGTTGGACGTGGTAGACGTGGTGAGGTGAGGTGAGGAATGTGCTCGCCCGCAAAACACCAACACCGCTGCCGAGGCCGATGCCAACGCTGATGGTAGTAGTTCCGAATCCTATTCCCTTGTCATTGGCTCCAACCCTGGAGCGAACCTGCCGTGAACGCACACGCAAGCATCGCCGAGGCCAGCCTTGTCGGCTCCCCGAAATCCTTCCCACATCATTACGCTGCGTCGGTCGGCATCCAGGGACACGGCCAAATTGTGGACGAAACTCGGCATGTAGGTTGGGGAATAGCATGCACAATAGTCGGAGCGAAATGCGTTTAGTCTTGCTTTCGTACACCCCTTGCCCGCTTAGTCGAAAACGACGGCCATCCGCCCCGTCGCGGTCTGGCTTGCCGTGCCCCGGCTTATCGCACCCATCTTGTTCGCTACGCTGGTCGGAGGCTGGTTAGATATGTGCGTATCGCAGAAAACTGTGACGGCGTGGGCCCGATAACCCAAGCATTTATCAAGTAGAGAAATGCTCTCGTAGATGGCCTGGACGGAGGTGATTCCTAAACGAGGTAGCTTCGGACTGGCTCATATCGACGTAGACGGGGAACACCTAGTACGTAGGTAGGCAGTAGTAATAGAGCCAAGAGCACGCAGAAAATTGCAGAGTAGAGCAGACAGACATGAGAGACCGACAGCATGGAGAAGCGGATGTGTCTTTTTATATGCCTATTGACGAGCTGTCTGTTGAGAACCCGGAGGACTCTACACTTCCCCAGGCAATAATAACCCCATTGGAAACTGTCGGGTCTGGGCTTAGGTAAGAATTCCGCCCGTCTGTAGGTGCCTACCCGTAGGTACCTATATATGCCTCGATACATCCTCATACATTCACCACAGTAAGGCGAGGAGGTACCTAGGCTTAGGTAGATACTTAAATTTTACAGCTTAGCTAACACACTGTTTACTTACATATGTGTGTGCTTATATGCATACTCGCCTCGCCATTGCCGTATTTCCATCCACCCTTTTAGCGCCACCTTTGTCTTCGTACCTCCGCCAGCTTCCAAGGTTGCTTGTCTACGACATACTGTACCTCACACCCAACCGCGTCTTTTCCCTGACAGAGCTCCAAGCCTCGGAGCATCGCGCTCTGTTCACTTTTTCCATCGTTTTCCTCCCACCCCAAGTGTAACGCTGAAAGCATCAACACGTCAACATCCAAGCGTTGCAATATAATCCTCTCCTCCTATTTGACACAGCTCGCTGACCCATGCGCGTTTTTTTAATCGAGACCAATCGCTACCTATGGTGCTATCCTAGTCGCCCTTTGAATCGCCAATCCGCGCCAAAGAGGACACCTCCCCCACGAGCCTCGCGCTGCGGGTCTTCATCGTTAACATGGCATTCCAATTCTCGAGTGTGAGCTCCTCGCCGTCCACCCCCCAAAGAGGATCGAGAAACGCTTCTAGTATTTACTCTGCCGAACATCCCTCCACCACCCCGATCGGTCCTCCTCCACCCTCCTCCGCGCCGTCCTTCACGCCGGCTGGCGATCCCTCGCCCTCCTTCCTGCAAAGTTCCATCGGTGCCATGTCTGGTAAGATTAAGCCGCCAAACTTCGGTCGACCGAGCCTTTCCAAGACCAAGTCCAGTCCCGGGAAACGGAACCGCGCACCCCTGGGAAGATCGATCGGCGGCGCCAACTCTAGACAGCCGTCCGGCTTGAGTAAGGAGTATCGTGGCGAGGATGAGGAAGACGAGGAAGACGATGGAGGTGCGGGCATACGGAAAAATCGAGTAGGCACGTACGGCATGTCATATGATGACACTACCGAAGGCGAGGATACCGAGCCCGATAACACGAACCCTCTAGATGACGATGACGAGGAGGACGATGGAGAAGAGGACGAAGACGACGAGTATGACGAGGAGGAGGAGGAGGAGGAGGATGACGACGAGGACGCTATGGCAGAGGATGGATCTGACTATGATATGGAGGAAGATTTATTGAGAGAGATAGCTGGCACTGGCCGATACGATGACCAGTTTGCTGACGACACGGACTTGATGATGCTCGCGACGCCCGCTGCGGACGAGCGTATCAGCAAGGAAGCCGAAGACATGTTCCGCGCTTCGTCCCTACGTTCCGCCGCCGCCCGAAAGAAAGATATGAGATACGCGACACTCGCAAAAGACCTTTACAGCCAGCTGCAGTTCGCGGCCGTGTCCGAGCCCGACAGTGTCGTGCTCCAAACCGAGGAGCTCATCAATCAGCTCTATGATGATGGCGTCGGTCCTGAAGACGATGAAGAGCGGTTGGACGACACGCTGGCCCAGACTTGTATCCGACTAGTCAACGAAATATGGGGTCCTCATGTGGAAGACCTACCCAAATCCTACGGCGAGCACACGGCCAAGGTAGGGCCCAGTTCCCTAGCTCCCGACTTCGAGAAGGCTTTTTTCCTCGCGGTCCTCGTCCTTCGAATTCACCATACGCCCTCGGTGAGAGACGAATTCGGCGCAGCTAAATACTTAGCTTTGCCTGGCATCCTGTTTGAATGGCAGCAACACGAACACAATTTCGACCAGGACCAGGCCGACGCCATCCTAGCTTACCGGCCCTCCCCCGCCGCCCATTCGCTCTTCTGGCAGGCCGTCTTCAGTGCTCTCGTGCGCGGGAACATTGCCGGGGCGATGCAACTGTTGAGGAACGCGGGCTGGGAATCCGTCAAGAAGACCCCCCGCGGCGAGCCCCTTTATAGCGGCCAAGTCCTGGCAAATATCAAACGCGCAGTTGAGGATCTCTGTCTCGTCATGGAGATCTGCCCCGCGGTGGACGACGACAGTTGGGATATTCGAAGTAGCGATTGGACGTTATTCCGCCTGAAGGTCAAAGCGGCGAAGGAGGGACTCATCAGCTTCTCGGAAGGCAAGGAGCGGACCCGCATCTCGTCAAAACGGTTTACCGAATCCGATTTTGCTGACTCTGTGGATGGGCGACAATCGCTCACGGGACTTGCTCGGCGGGCAGAGAGTCGAATTCCCTGGGACGTCTACGAAAACTTGCAGTCGCTCTATTCGATCCTCATCGGAGAGCCGGATTCGATCCTCGCGGCCGCACAGGACTGGTGCGAGGCGACGATCGGTCTGTTCGGGTGGTGGGATGACGGCCACAACAAGCGGAGTCTTGGCGCCTCTCATTCGAGGTCACTTCCCCTGCCCGGCCCCCCTACTGAAGACGAAGACTTCTCCGGTCGCCTCGCCCTGTCCCTTCAGACCGCCACCGAGACCGACTTTCACTTCAACTCCGCCGATCCCGTCGAGGTGGGTCTCGCTTGCGCATTCGAAGGAAATATCGAGGGTGTTATCGGGTTCCTGAGATCATGGTCGCTCCCGGTCGCATCGGCGGTAGCCGAAATCGCGTCGCTGGGGCGGTGGTTGCCTGCTCGAGAGCAAAATCTCATCAACATGGACGACTTCGACATGGAAGAGTTGGAGGTTTTGGGCATGAGCCAGAACACCAACGCGGAGGACAAGGACGGGATCAAGGATGCAATTCTGATCCACTACGCTCGCGGCCTGAAGGACCGCAAGCACATTTCGGGTACTGGTCTGCACGGCAAGGTCTCTCGAGATGGCTGGGAGTTGGCCATCCAAGTCGTCGGCCGTATGGATTCCCCGGAGCGCTCTGAGCAGATGGTACAAGAATTGTTGCAGAGCGTCCTAGATACCATCGATGAATATTCTCGCGATACGGTTGACAAGATCTGGAGGTTGCTAAACGAACTCGGCATGATTAATTTTGCCGAGGACACAGCGGAGGTAGGTAGATGCTGACATCCGAACCACCCACCCTTACTAACAGATATTAGGCCTTTGGAGATGTTTTAGCAAAGGAAACGTTCCGCTTTGGCGAGGCTCTCTGGTACTACTCTCTGGCGCACCGGCCCGGGAAGGTTCGAGACGTCTTGAATACGCTCATGTCCATCTCTCTCGTGGAGTCTACGACCTACCCCCCCGAAAGCGAGCTAGATGAGACCCTCAAACAATTACTGAAGGAGCGCACGGCGACGCTAGAACAATATGCGAAGCAGGATTTGGAGGCGGCAGAGCTTCTTGGCAAGATGCTAAGCGGGTACGCAACGCTCAGGAAGTTCTACGAGCTCCGTGATGGCGACGGAAAGACCAACCAAAAGTCCCTCGTGCGCCGCCAGCAGGCCGCAGCGACCCTCGCCGCAGTCATTGCTAGTGCCGATGACAACATCCGGGGCGGCCTGTACGATGACACGCGGGACGCCGTGGTGAGCGAGGATTTCCTGCTGGCGCTCCTCGGAGAAGCGTCGGTCTTCGTCGGCCAGTCGCCGTCCGTGATCACGCTCGACCAGATCGACACGCTGCTGAAGGCGATCGAAGACATCCAGGCGGTGGGGTCCAGGGTGTACGAGGCTTCCGACGAGTTCTTCAAGCTCGTCCTGGCGTCGGGACACGGGAAGGGATCGACGCCGGCGGACCTGCTGAAGCAGTCGACCTCGTCGCTGGGCGGCAGCTTCGTGATGACGGGCAGCTCGATGATGGCGTCCCAGCTGCACCAGTCAGTAGTCAGGAGCGGGGTCATCAAGGGCCCGGTGAAGCGGGCGTGGGACTGGCGGGCGGGGGTCTACGCGTCCAGCAGCTCCGCCGACGTGCTGAAGCGGGTCCGACTCGGCCTGACGAGGGACCTAGCAAACCTTTGGCTCGAGCAGGCGGACAGCGTCATACTGTAAAGATCTAGCCGCGCCCGGCCCGTCCGGCGGAGCCGCTATCATCCTCTTTTCTCTCTCTCTCTCTCTCTCTCTCCATCATTGGAGCTAGCTGGTCGGCGTTTCGGCGGACGGACATGATTCTCGAGTTGTGTAATAATACCACGGCAGGAGATTTTGCGCGCGCGGACGGGCAGAGCCGCGCGTGTTGTGGCTTCGCGAGACAAGACAAAAAAGTGAATTCATCTTAGATTATCTTCCTCGGGCGCCCCCTTTTCGGTGACAGGTGCAGCGGTAGCAGCAAGAGTAGTAGTGTGGATTTGCCGCCGCCTCGCAGGTCCGTAGTATTACCCTCGATGAAAGCGGGCACACCCGTACGGGTTCCTGGAATCGATCTTCTACGTGCTCTACGGCATCATCGTCCCCCCCTCCCTCGCGCGCAACGCTTCTCTGCTCTGCGTACGCGCCCACGTATACATGTCTACATGTCTGCGCGCCTCAATCAACGTTAGCGGCTCGCGGCGGGGGGCGGGGGGGGGGGTTGACGGGCGTGCCTGACCGCGGGGGGCGGGCGCTTGTAGCATGCCTGCCTACCTGTCTGCTTACCTGCCCATCTATCTATATATATGCATCGGTGTACGTGTGGTGTGGCCGGGGGCTCAGCTCGCTACGGGCCAACGTTGGCGATAGGTATCCGAGGGGGGGGGAGGCCAAGAGCCATCCTCGCCCGCGGCTGTGCGGGTTAAGCCAAGAAGGGGGGGGGGGGGAGGCGTTGACGTCGCGCCGCAGGGAAGAGTGGCCGGCCGGCCTGGTTAAGACAGGAGGGGAAGGGGGTGGCCGGGTGCTACGGATGACGGGCAGGCAAGCATGGGTGCAAAGGATGGAAGGATGGGCGGATGGACGGATACTAGTAGGTGGGCAGGTAGGTGGGTAGGTATAGCCTGCGCCTACGCTGCGTTCGTGCGGAAAGGGGGCACAGGGGCGCGGTCTACGGGTGCCCTACGAGTAATATAGGGCGAGGGATGTGCCACGCGGAAGCGTATTGATCCCGTAGAGAGGCATAGACATAGATATTTACAAATGCGATAGTTAGGTATGTCAATTTATTCGAGTGGCTATTTTTTGGTTATGGAAAAGGCTCTCCGACTCCTGCTGCAACCTGGGCGTCCTATTCAGCGCAGCTGGGCTGTTTCTCTGTCACTGGTAGATATCCGTATCCATCCCTAAGACTGCGTTGGTTCCCCGACTTAGCGCGGTTGGAGAGCTAGGCTAGGCCCCTGTGGCGGCCTTCGTATCCTCTCAGGGGCTTGTGTTGTCCCGCCCCCCCCCTCTACTGCTCCGTAAGGTAATCCAAGTCTCCACCCCCGTGGCCACCCCCTCCTCCTCCTCTAACAGTTCGCTCAGCTTCCCCTGTAGGTGGTGTAGCTATAAGGGGACAGCAGCAGCGGCACGTGGTAGTGCTGGCCCTTGAGGACGCTGAACGTGACCTGGACCTCGGGGAAGAAGGTCTTGCCCTCGCCGAAATACGACCCGGTGTCGAAGCGCAGGGTCCAGGTCGACTTGTCCTCCACCTCGCTCAGGACGTCATCGATGGTGTAGGTCGGCACATCGCCGGAGGAGTGGACGCTGGAGTAAGGAAGCCAGGCCTTGACCCGGCCGTCGTCGTCGGTGAGGGACTCAAAGGTCTTGAGGGGGGCGTGTCCGCCTTCCAACTTGACGTGGATGCCCCTGGCGGGCCTTCCCACGGAGGTGTCTAGGACGTGGCAGGTGATGGGGTCCCTGTCGGTGGCCATTGAAGCTGGTGGTGCTGCCTGCGGTTCTGGGGAGGGCGGTTCGGATGAGTTACCAAGGCCAGATGCCGCTCGAGGTGGCAGAGGTGGCAGAACATACCGGGTTTTGTATCCGGAGGGCTCGCGGCTGGATGTGTAGTCATCGTATAGGGGAAGGGGGAATATAGTCGTCGTCGCGGGCCCGATGCGACAGGAGGTGTGTGAGGTGTCGGGAGGTAGATGTAGGACAAGCGAGGCGAAGCTCTTCTGTGGTACGGTGACTGCAGTTTTCTTCCTCCCGCGGGCTCAAACAGGATGCGCAATGCCGAGAATGGGATGTCGCCCCTCAACGATGTTTGGGGAGGTCAGCACCCAAAGCTAGATTAGATTGGCAGGAGACGGACTAGGGTTGGCGGGTGGGAGCCGAGTCGAGCCTCAGGGCGACAGACGTGACCACGATGCCACCGTGTTGAGGGAGAGGGGGAGGAAGTGAGAAGAGCGGGAAGAGGGATGGAAAAGGTCGACCCAAGGCCCCCAAGCAAACACTGCATTGGCAACTCTGGGCAAGCAACACGGGTTGAGGATTTAGGGAGGTGAAGAATGTTGCATGTAGAAGTAGGTAGGTAGAGGGAGTTTGTACGGTGAGGGAGGAGGCAGGTTAGGAAACTAAGGTTGGTTAGCTTGGTTAGCTTAGGTACCTCACCATAGCCTTGCCTACCTGCGTTAGGTACCTACCTAGGTGGGTAAGGTACCTACCTGTAGGTAGGCATCTCTATAGTACCATGCATAAAAGGAGAGGAGGCACCCTCATCTAGGTACCCTCATCTAGAGGTAGGTACCTACCTAAGGTGGGAGAGGTTGCCGTCGGACTTTCAACCGCACACACACGCAAGGTGGTAATTGGCCGCCCACACCCCCCGCCGTGGGGCAGAGCGCATGTCTGCTGCGATTACTACGTAGTACATACATATGTACCGTCGATCCCTGCCGTCCCGGGGACAGCGTCGCAGAGGGCTGGGTCAAAGTACCCAGGTATCTTTCCATATATAGAAACACACGTAATACCCTTCCCGGTTGCGGGTTGGCGCGCCGGGCGGATACAGGGGGGCGCCTCCTACATCATATCGCTGCTTTAGGTACCTTGGGTACTTCTTATAAGAAGTGCACTCATACCTACATCAGGTACCTCCTGAGATGGCAAGCAAGATGACGGCATTATTTACCTCCTACAAACCTAGGTACCTAGGTCGGTAACCTACCTCACCTCTACGTACCTAACCGCACTTGCTAAAGCATGCAAGATTAGTAGGCACATTCCATAGGTACCTATCTACCTAACCTACTAACCAGTATCCTTTACTCATCCCTCCTCCACACCCCCCCTCCCCCCTCCCTCCCTCTCTCTCTATCCACTGGCACCTCCCGACCGACCATCCAAACCCGAAGAGACGACAAGCCTCCTCCGTGTACCACTTCCACCTCTCAACCTCGCGTCTATAGACCTGCCGTACGGCGGACCGCCACGAGGCTGAGAAGCTCGACGCGACCGTCAACCTCACCGCCCTTCCTCAACCCCCTACCGCGACCTGTCCGTGGCGCGATGCGTGCTTGACTAGAATCTGCCGCCCGCCCCTCTGATTTGGCATCTAATAATAGCCTCCGACGAGACATTTAAGTGGTGTAACCTGTCCGCGCGATCGTGCATGTCAGCAAGCCGTGACGATATTCTTCAGTTGCCGGCGCCGGATGCCGTTGTGGCTTCGCTATTCCTCGCCTCGCGCTAGGCGGCACTCGAAGATGCCCAGGATGCTACGGCACTCCCACACCTTGACCAGCTGGAGGCCCGCCTGCTCGAACAGCTCGCGGAACTCGGCCGCCGTCCGCTCCTTGCCGTTCATCAGAGACATCATGGATATGTCGAGCGAGAACCCGTGATGACCGTGGACGCCGTAATTGGCCAGCAGCGGCTTGGGGGCCGCTTGGATGTACGGGTCTCCAAGCGTCTCGACGAGCGTGACGTCGGCCACGAGCAGCCGCGAGTCTGCGCTCATCGCCTCAGCTACCCGCGAGAGAATTCTGGCGCAGTCACCGTCTTTCCAGTCGTGCCTACGAGAGGAGGGGGGGGGGGGGGTTAGTCGCTGCAACCATTGGGAGCTTGGGCTGCAAGGGGCTAAAAGACGCACAAGACGTGTCGCATCCAGTAGATGTCTGCGCCCACGACCGGATTCGGCGTGAAGAAGTCATGCTCCATGAACTGCACCCGCCCCGATTCGACAGCCTCGGGATATTCCTCCTTCCACAGAGAGAGCCCCTGCTCCGTGACAGTGCTCAGGTCCTGCACGACGAATCGCAGGTCCGGATACAGCCGGGCGAGTTGAAGGTCAAAGCTGCCTCAGCACGATGTTAACCCCTTTTGTTTCTCTCTTCTCTCCCTCGAATCTTGAGGCCAAATATAGGAGAGACATCCTGCAGAGCACGGCCCTCATACGGCCGATAGGTAACTTACCAACACCACCTCCGACATCGACGACCAGACTATTCCCTGCTTCCTTCCAGGGGAAGTCGTAAAGATGCGCACTGCCTAAGCTTTTGCTATTGCCGACCAGGTATAAGTTGAACAGCTGGGCATCGGCCCGCTGGACCAATTCTTCGTCCGGCGATGCCTCGATGAGTTTCGTCGCGGCTCTGGCGGCCCACGGGCTCGCCTTCTCTGCTGCCCGCCGTAGAGGGACTCTCTCGGTCATCCACTCCAGGTAGGGGGTGTCGGACCCGATGGCCAACGTCCACGCTGCGTCCACAGCATTCTGGCTCGGCCCCCGTACGGGGTCCCTCAGCGCCTCTGGCAGCGCTGAGGAGGCTGCGTATCCCAACGAGCTACAGAATGTCAGCGTTTAGGCGGTGAGCTCTCGTCTTATCAGCAGCTGCCGGCGTGCTTACCTGCCCTTAACTTGCGCCTGCAGCTTCTCGTCGCCGACCAGGGCCCGGGTGATCCTGTTATTTGCAAATCTACCCGGTGTGACCTCGCGAAAGAAATGTTGTGTTGCCAATGAGCGCAAGATGCGGGCTATTCTTTTTTCGTCAGGGACCTAGCCACTCGGGGAAAGTAATCCTACTCATATCCTGCGAGGGAGGTAGCGTGACCGCTTCCGTGACTCACCCAACTTGCTCTCGTCGAGCCCGGTCGCCTTCGCCAGGTCCTCGACGGGAACCCCGTCGTCGCCCCCCCGCGCCACTAGGACCGCGATGTTATGCTCGGCGGCTACATGGAGCGCCCTCACCTCGAAGTACAGCTCCGCAAAGTCCAAGAGGCGCCTGTGGGGGTCGGCCACGAGCTCCTCTATCGACCCCAGCGCGGCGATGATGATGCGCTGCGCGTCGTAGGCCGGACGGCTCGGTATCGCAAAGCTCGTCTCGCTCGCCGGGATCGCGCCCGGCGACGGCGCTTCCCATTCGGAAATCAGCGCCTCGGAGGCGTCCTGGATCAGCTTGACTACTTGCCTAAGGGCCGTGGCCCGCGAGGATACGTCTTCGTAAGTCATCGTCGTCGTGGCCGTGTCTTGTTCGTCGGTTGGCTGTCTCACGCGCGGCTACCAAGATCGCGTAGTTCGCGAGGAGGTCGATGAGTTGGGTGATTCTTTGTGGATGTTAAATGCCGCTGATCACTAGCTGCCCGGGCCGCACCGTGGTTAAGTGGTCTTGGTGCTCCGCGCCTAGCTGTACTGCCGGCTTGCTAACAGCCGCGCGCAAACCCACCAGAGCCGTGAGCACAGATGCGGCAAACGACGGGGTGGGGGTTCCTGGCGCGGCGATTCTAGGCTCCAGGTTACCCGTATATAGACGGCCCTTACCTCGCCGCCCACTTTTCCCCTATTCGTCGAGATGGCTTTGCGGAGAAGCCCTGTCGGTATGTAGAATCGAAGCGCGAGACGTCTTACACACACAGGGCAAAAGCAATATTTCTGCCTATTCACTAGCGATGACCCAGATGTTCGCGGGATGTGACGGCTTCTTCTTCCCTCCGCCTCGTCTCGAGGGTTAGAGTGGACCTCGGCTACGGATCACTCCTCCTTCCCCCCTCCTCCCGTCCCGGGTCGTAATTGGGACGGGCTCGAAGTGCTGACCGACCTGCTGCGCTTGCTTTTTTGCTCCCTCCACAGCCTACCACTGGCGCATCGACTTCGGGGGCTGTATCGACGTCGTTGGAGTCGTTGAGGGCTGGGGGGGGGGGGGGGACTGCTAGGCATATTAGATGCGGTTGCAACGTTGGAACCGACTCCATTTTACCATAGTTATTTGATTGGCGAGGCGGCTTTTGTGCAAAGGGGTAGGGACCCGCCGGGGGGGGGGGGGAGAGAAGAGGGGTACACAATGGGTGTTGTCTTGGTTTAACTGTAGGTAATCTGGACATGCAAATTTCGTCTATTGCCTGAATGGTTCGTCGATAGGGTGGCTATCGTAGGGAGTCCCCAGCGGCATGGGTGGAGTTTCCTCGGCGTCTCCGAGAGTCTGGTAGTATTATCCGTTGTCACCTTGTCCGGAATGGTAAAGTGTCTATGCTGTTGCTGTCTTGGGCTTGATAAGAAAGGACCTAGGTATGGCAGATACGTGATCTTCGTTACTGAAAAGGAACTACGTATGGAAAAGAGAGCCTTGAGCCCTCTGCGGTAGGCTTTTTGAACCACGGATGTATCTATATGGATGGTGCCTGGGGGTTGGGAGTATGTTTTCGTAAGCAATGTAAGAAGACCGCAAGTAGGAGCCAGGGGTTATGGCTAGGGAATATTATTAGAGAGTAGAAGGGAACAATCGAAAGAGAATTGCTATCGTGGTGTTCCAGCCCTGATTATCCAGTCCCCGCAAATTTGCCCGTAGCCTGTCTCTTCGCCGTTCTACACCTTGGGGATTCCAGAAGTATCGACGTGTCTATTTCGGGAGGGACGCAGCAGTGTTTGTGGAAGATATTGCTAGTAGTATAACTCACATAGAACATGCGGACGCCTGCACTGCCTGGCCGGAGATGTAGGCTGACACGGCTTCCTACGCCGCAAACGGAGACGAAAGCCTTATGAGGGGCGGCCTGCTGGGCTAGGAATTGTCACTCAAACGAGGTAGTTTGTTTAAACGGCGGGCGGGTCTAATTTCTCTATGTCGAAGTGACTACATTAGGTATACTGTCTAACTCCCGCAGAACAGCTCTTCTTCCCTGACAGGAAGTTCTCCCGAGGTTCTACTATGCGTCCTCAGGCTACGCCTTGCTCTTGTTCCTGTCTATGCACGTATGGCGCGGTCTTCTATGTGCTCGATCAGTGGGCGAACCTGAAGTCTAGCCTCTTGTTTCCTTGGTCCGTAGTCGTCTGCAGGTAGTTTAGTTGTTCCTGATAGCTAGTTAGCAACCTCATCTGTCTTCCGTCGGCATGTGCGTCTGGGCGCCATCGCTCACCTCGCGAGTCATGGCGTTCCACTTGTTGTCCCTCTGCTTGTTGCGCCAAATGTAGTACGCCTTTACGAGTAGGTATATGACGATGTTGCCCGCGCAGATCGCAACCAGTTGCCGGTTGCCGCGGCGGTCTGTTAGAGAACTGGTGTTAGCTTTGTGGGGCATAGTATCGGTCTACAATAATGGCATTGCGCATACACTCAGGCCTGTCGTCGGCGCGATATATATTCGAGTATACAATTCCCGAAACCTGGACAAACATGCTGTCGAAGTTGTCAGCGTTCGTGCTTATTCAAACCCGGAGTAAAAATGGAGGGACGAGGGGGGGCTTACTTGTAGACCGCCGCGGAAACTGTTCGCGCTCTAACGGTGTTCGAGTTGCGGCTACACCAGCCTACTTGTATAGCATGGGCTGGATCGGCCATGTCAGCAGCTGTGGGACGACGGTGCGTTGAGGGCCATACGTACGATACGGGTACGAAAGCAAGACTATGAGTACGGCGTATTTTACCCATTGGGAGGCGTCGCTGGGTAGCACAGCTAGGGCGATGATATTTGGCAGGATCCAAAGCTGCGCAAACGCGCCGATCAGAGACCGCTCGTTCCACACCTCCGAAAAGAAGGTCGCGATCATCATCTTCGCGGCGGTTAGTTGACGGCTACTAGTAGCGTATTGTTATATGCTAGGATAGAGAAAAGTCACTTACCGCGATAGCGCCGGTAATTTGGCTCGGAATCGAGAGCAGGTTGGAGTTGAAGGTGTCAAAGCCGAGATTCCGGAGCGTCAGGGTCAGATATTGGTCGGGAGGCCCGGTGGGGATGCCGAAGACAAGCCCGAGGAGGTAGATCGGCCAGATATCGTAATCGCACAGCGACTTCCACAGCATCTTGAAGTCGACCGCCTGTCGATTGTGCATGTCGCCCTTAGAGGGATCGTCTCTCAGGATCCTATTGACCATGATGGTCTCCTCCCGTTCGGTGAACCAGCCTTTGGGCCGGAAAATGGTCTTGGTCTGAGTCGGAGACGGAGCCATCTGGAACCACGAGTAGATACCTATACACAAAGTGAACAGGCCTTCGATGAGGAACAGCCATCTCCACCCTTCCCGGCCGTGGTGGCCTCGGAGCCGTAGAATGCCGTAGGCGAGGATAGGGGCGATGACGTCGACGACCCTCAACGTCGTCCAGAACAGAGCCAGGCGGAAGGGAAGCTCGGTGCTCTTGAAGAAATAGGACTACAATAGCAGACACGTCAGCGTTTGTAACGACCGGCCGGGGGGACCAACGCGGAGGGTCGAAGACACTTACGAGGTACAGGACGATGTCGGGGATAAAGCCACCTTGGAGCAGGCCCAGCAGGGCCCGGCAAGCCAGGAAGCTCGATCTCCCACTCAGCCAGAATTGCGCAGCTGCCACGATGCTCCACAAGCACATGATAGTAGGTATCCATCGATCAGGACCTGGCGTTTGTCTTAGTTCCGGTAAGGAGGAAAACGGCGAGTTAAGGTAGCGCAGTCACTGAAACCTACCAACTTTCTTGCTGACCAGCTGCGACGGCAGCTCAGCGCACAGGAATGCCAGCCTGAAGACGGTATTTCCCAGGTTGTAGTCTACGGAGAGCACGTCAGCACTATGGATACGACCTGGCGTAGCTTGGCGCGACTATCTCAAGTCCTCACCGTTCGTGGACAGGCCCATGTCTTCGAGGAAGTTGTCCGTGTTCGCCTGGGACAGGTTGCCGCGGTCCAGATCGAGGGCGAAGAAGGCGGTGCAGGCCCACAGAGTGATCTTCCAGTCCAGCTTGTTGATGAGCGGCAGCTCCTCGGCCCATGTCCACCGCGCGCTCGGGTCGAAGCGGTGCAAGTTTTCGTACTTCTCGGTGGGCAGGAAGTGCTTCGCCTTTTCCGGATCGTCGAATACGGAGGGCTGGGTCGCGATCTCGTCCAGATTCACCTGCTGCTTGCCCCGGCGGAACAGGGTCATGATCGGGAGGACGGGGGGCTCTGTCTTCTGAAGCTCTTGCTGCTCGAGGATCCGCTCCCTCACCACCGCCGCCGACTCTTCGGCCTGCTTCTTCTCCGTCGAGGACAGCGACTCGGCCCGAGCCGCGGCCTTGTCCTTCGTATCAGCCATGGCGTCTGAACTGTAAAGCGATCGGCTTAATGCAGAGGTGGTACTGCTACTTCTTATTCCTTAGAGGCATGCCATTTCAGGGTCGTAGCATGTCATGGGCGGCAGCCAACTTTTATACCTCTCGTTCTCGCATCGCTTCCCGAGCTTCCGTGCTCGTGGCGGCCCTGTCGACGGTATCTTGGCACGAGCTCGCCATCCACGATGGTCCCCTTCGGGTGCTATCAATCGTTATCATCATCGCTGGATTGCGGAAATACAACCGTGACCGCCGCGGGTTTGGGGACAAATCGGGGAAGTCCTCAAGGGGAGACGCGCACAACTGGAGCACCTCATCGCAGGCCTTGATCACGAATGTGGCTAAGAACCACCACACCAGCATATGGGTTTGTGCAATTCATGGCGCGATGGCGGCATTGCCAATGGTTCTCGTCGTCCACCGCGCCCAGCGTCCAACCACGGTAACATCTCCGTCCCCCCTGGCATTTCCGGCTCCCTGGGTCCGGGTATCTGGGTGGCTCGCTTCCCTGGTAAGCGAGTAGAAGTATGGCCGATTTGATGCTTCGAAGCTCATTCGTTCCAAGAATGATGCCAAGGATCCCCATTCCTCTCTCCCACGATCCCCCCGTGACGCAACCCAGCTGGCCGCGTGGATGCGAGAGCTGATTGATATGATATGAATAGCTATGGTAGCTATTACAGGGAGCCTCATCGGGGATGCGATCATGAAATGAACGTATTCGTACCACCACAACGCCACGCTCTTTGGAGCTCTGAGACGACGATGATCCGATAAGACATAAATTCCCGCCGCCCTCTCCCATTAGCCTAGAGAAGTCGTAACTCGTGAATCTTGGTTCTATTCCTACCTACGCCACTAGACCCAGTTGACTTTATATCGTCTTTCTGGGAACATATTGCGAATACAATTGGGCATCAACTTCAACCTCGGCAATAACTTCAGCTCATGCGCCAAGTGGCGATAGCCAGCTGAGCGCGAGCGTGTTGTGGAGTTCGTAGGATAAGATCTAGTAGGATAAATCACGAAGGTGAGGCTGAAGAGTCAGATGAGCCGACAGTAGATAGAATTCAGCCGTTGGCCTAGAGTCTCGCGTACGCATAGCAGAATTGCCGATCTGGGCGCTGGGCGACATCTAAAGGCGCTATCTTGGGACTTCGAGCTATAGGGCCTGGGCGACGATATGATACAATACGTGGAAGATTAGAGGTGACCAGACGCCGATAAGGGTCAGCATTCAGTAGTTGGCTAGTCGGGGGATTCAACTTGTTAAGTAGTCGTTAGCTAGTTGGGGAGAACCAAGCTATAACAGGCCGTAGCTTGCACGGAGAGCTGCCGGAGAGCACGGAACAAGGCTCGGGGAGTGGATTTCACGCGAGAGCCAAGAGATATCGTGATTGCGCGTTCCGGCGATGAGGGACCCGTCCGACAAGAACTAACAGACTTGGCGCAGGTAGCTTCAAAAAGGCTTCTGCGGATATAGTCTACCGAGAATCAGCCCAGGAACGAAAGAGAGGGGTCGGAAGAGAGAGAGAGAGAGAGAGTTAAGAAAAGGATAGGCGGTTAGGATGTCGCCATATGCGCCGAACTCCCGACTCTCATAACCCAGAATGACAATCTGCCAGTAAGGGATGCAAAAGAACTCCACGCTCTGCGTTCGGTGAGTCCCAATGCGGTAGATTCCTTGCTTAACGCGTGATTTAACAACAGGACCACGCGTACATCAATCAATCAATCACGCATGTGAGCGTGTCGATTAATAGTCCGGCGCTGGTTTTCCTAGGAGTATCAGTATAGTTGCTCTTGCTTAGGACGGCGTGCAGATATCATACCTGTTAATCTATTCCTAACTCCTCCGTTCGCTTCTATCCACCCCCCCCCCCCCCCCCCCGTGAAAGCATCTGTCCTCGCTTATACCTGAATCTCGATCACCCACCTACCTACACTGATACCGATGCGAGCATGTCTAGTCTCCCATCTTCCTAGTATGAGAGTTTTGTTGGACCGCCCCCACGGGTTCCATCCCATCGTCTAGTCGCCCCTAATATAGGCACCTATGATATCCTACGCATGACCCGGACCAGAGCCAACCATCGTCTCGTCGGTCCTTTTCACCCTCGCCAGGGATTTGGAGATGCGTTTACGTACTCGAGAATGACCTGGAATCCTCTACATACAGGTCCCATCGATGTAGTAGAGGCCCATTGAACTCGCCGGAATGAAAATCGAGTGTATTCTTATTCGTAGCCTAGACGACAACTAATAGTATCAATAGTGACTGCTTACACCACTATGAAGTAAGCGACGAGGTTCCTATATGGAATAAAATATGACGGAGGATTCATTAGCGATGAGAATCCAACTCGAGCGGCGGAAGCGTATTGATGGTGTCGGTCCCTAAGGTGGTAGTAGAGGCCGTTCGGCTGCGAGACTGGCTCCCCGTAGCTCGCTTACCAGAAAAGACGGCTTGTAGTATGCGAATGCGGTCCTGATAAAGCCCGTTGCTTGACAGCCTGCTTACTCCGCGCAGCCAGCATCGCCAATCACCGGCGTGCAGGAACCCTGGGCGCAGAAAGGCAAGGTCGCTACCAAACTATGGAGAGTGATCTATCACCGTGAAGGATCGGACTGCCTTAGTCAATGCAACTGTCCATGCACCCAACTGCACCCCAATGCTGAGTCGTGAGAGCGGGAAGGAGAGCGAAGTGCCGTAGTGTATGCAAGATTCGACTACTCCTTGGGACCGAATAACGACCTGCGCCGAGGAGGATTGCGGCGGCCGCTAGGATAGGGCCCTATTTCTGTATCTCGGGATGGTTGCGGCGCGGAGAGGCCATGCGTACGCCGGAACCGTAACTCCGCACACGCCAAGGGGCGCGGATAAGCTGCAGGGACATACGCTTCCTCCTCCTGCGTCGTCCTGAATCGTCATATCCCTTGCTGAAGAGGCATCATATAAAACAGTCTCGTCAGGTCTTACAAACCGGTTTGTTTCCATGCTTCCGCTTCTGCATCTTGATGCACCTCCAACACCGCCTGCGAGGCAGGATAGTTGGCCGCTGAGATGAGTTCGTCTAAGTAGGTAGTATCCCGCATCTTTGGGGCGTTGCTATTCTTGACCTCAGACATCGTCGACGTGGATGAACTTGCTAACGTCACCAACGCATCGGCTGGCCAGCTGAAGGGACCACATAGGAGAGTGTCGCTATCGACTTCGCATCTTGTGACGAGTCGGGAATTTTCGAGGCTAGGCGCAGCATGGCGTGGACACGCAACGTACCGGATGATACCCCAACGGACGGCCCCGTGCTCGTAGCCGTCGCGAGCGCTCTAACCGGTCTGTCCTTGTGCTTCATATTTCTTCGAGGTTACGTTCGGGGAATACTGCTTCACGCCGTCGGAATTGGTACGTCAACACCACCTGCTCTAGCCAGTGCCCATCCGTACGACGCCGATATGTTAACCGATAATACTCTCCAGACGACTGGGCCATATGTATCACTTGGGTATGAGCCTCTCCGAGGTGGCTTGCGATCGTCGACTCCTAACGATCTCGATAGCTCCTTTCGTGTAGTTATACCGTAGTCTCGGCCATACGTATGGGACCTCCCAACCGAATTCCGGCGCGTAGTAGACGCTAATGTCGACTTCTCAGAGACAACATGGGGCTTAGGACTAAAGAATATAGACGACATACCGGACCAGAATGTGTACATGTTCGGATTGGTACGCTTGCTTTCTGTCGAATCTCCTATTGTTATTGTCGGTCCCGTCTAACATGTGCCCCTCTAGTTGCAATATGCGGGTTGGCCCTTGTAAGCGGTTCCGTGGCAGCGATGCGAACCGCCGTCTTCGACGACACGTTTCCTAACATCCAGCTTAGGTATATACTCAGCGTTTTGGGGTTTAAGATTAGCCTTCTAGTGTCTTATTTCCGATTCGTTCCACAGGGAATGTGCAAATATGGCGTGTCCTGCGTGCTGGCGCTCTGTACGCTCTTCCACCTAAGCATGCTATTCATCCAGGTTACCTTATGTCAACCGGTAATGCCAACAATCGCTGTACTCATGCGCGGTTGCGACGAGACTGACCCGGAAGCAGATCGCGATGCAATGGGACACGACGGTCACGGATGGAAAATGCATTGATAGGATTTCGTTCTATCTGGCCATGGCGTCGTTGACGATTGTCCTCGACTTCTGTGTGTAAGTGGTATCCGGACGACCTTTCGGCGGGGGCGACGTCTTTGGAGAAAAGTGGCCTAACTCTCCCACTCACAAGCATGTTTCTCCCGTTCCCCGTCCTCACCAAATCCAAGATCCAGACGCGCTCGAAGGTGGTGCTGCTGGGCCTCTTTGCCCTCGGGCTCTTCGTCACCGCCACCCAGGTCGTCCGCATCCAGTTCATTAGGGACCTTAGCAACCGGCTCAACTCGGCGTCGCTGATCCAATGGTCTACAGTCGAGATCAACCTCGGCATAGTCGTGGCCTGCGTGCCGGCGCTCCAGCCCATCCTCAAGAAGTTCCGCGGGAGGGCGAGCCAGGGGTCCTCGCCGTCGGAATCGTGGAGGGTCTCTGGGGCCCAAAGCGCGTCGAGAAGGTCATGGGGGATTGCTGCGACGCGCGGACCCCCTAACAATCACGACGATGACGTTGACCATCTGTTCAATCGTGCAGCGACGACAGAGAGCCAGGACTCGATGCGGACCTTGAGGGAGATGGAACCCGATATTACCAAGCAGGTCCCCCTCATCCAGCCGGCAAGGCTCTCACACGCGTCGGGGTCGGCGGCCCAGATGAGAGGTTGGCGAGATGTTAACGGCATCTGAGAATTGGATGATGGAGATGAGAGGTTGATTTGGATAAATTACCTATCTCCACGGCAGGTATCTTGATACGCGCCTCTGTATGCTTATATCGTATGTATACCTATGTATGTACTCAGTATGCGCGTTTTGGCTAGTCTCGCTTCCTGTGATCCCATGATGCTAAGTAATCAACCAGTAGGCATGCGAATCTTTAGGATGCTGAGCCTGTGCCTCATCTATTAAGGTAACAACTAGGAGCTAACCGCTAATTAACGAGCTTTATATACGGCTCCTTTCACAGTGAATATTGGCTTATCTCCTAAGGTGCCGTTGGCAGTGAATAAGGCAGTGAATAGGGTGGTAGGGATCCACAAGGGTCAGTAATGGCCTAGTAACTGCCTATATGGTCTATGTACTTACCTCCATGTTACTCGGTTAGGTACCTAGGTACCTAGGTTAGGTTACGCGCACAGGTACGTACCCACCTAATTTCTGTCCTTCGTCCTCCGTCATTTTGTCAGGGACCTTCGCGGGGCAAACTACCACTCATTCCTTAGCGGTACCTTACCTTGCCTGTCCTTCGCCGTAGCCTCCTCGCCTTACCTGTATTTTTGCCAACCATCCAGTAGAAATTCTGCTGCCTCTTCTTCCCTGAGTCGTGCTCCGTCTTCATATTGTCACCCAACTTCTGTCCTTGTGCTTTATTCGCTCTACTCCCTACATCGTTGCACCCCCGTCCCTTCCGCGCTTCTCTGCCATTATGTCTGCTGCTGTGGTCTCTGCCGACGATGGCCTCGAGCCGACGCTCCAGTCCATCCTCGACCAGAAGACTTTGCGATGGATCTTTGTCGGCGGCAAGGGGGGCGTAGGCAAGACGACAACCTCGTGCTCCCTCGCCATACAGCTCGCCAAGGTCCGCCGTTCTGTCCTGCTCATCTCCACCGACCCTGCCCACAACCTGTCCGACGCCTTTTCGCAAAAGTTTGGCAAGGAGGCGCGCTTAGTAGAGGGATTCTCAAATCTGAGCGCCATGGAGATCGACCCGAACGGCAGCATCCAAGACCTCCTCGCCGGACAGGGCGAGGACACTGACAACTCGATGGGGGGCATGGGAGGCATGATGCAGGATCTAGCATTCGCCGTAGGTCTACCAAGCATGTATCGTGCTGCGCGCTGCCCAAGCTAAATTTTCTCTTCAGATCCCCGGTATAGATGAGGCCATGTCCTTCGCCGAAGTCTTGAAGCAGGTCAAGTCTCTCTCGTACGAAGTCATCATCTTCGACACCGCGCCGACCGGCCACACGCTCCGCTTCCTGCAGTTCCCGTCCGTCCTCGAGAAGGCCCTAGCCAAGATCTCCCAACTCTCTTCTCAGTACGGACCGCTGCTCAACGGCTTCCTCGGCAGCCAGGGCACCCTACCGAACGGGCAGAACCTAAGCGAGATGATGGAGAAGCTCGAGAGCCTCCGCCAGACCATCTCCGAGGTCAATACGCAGTTCAAGGACGAGAACCTGACTACCTTCGTCTGCGTCTGCATCGCCGAGTTCTTGAGCCTGTACGAGACGGAGCGGATGATACAGGAGCTGGCGGGCTACGGCATTGACACCCACTGCATCGTCGTGAACCAGCTCCTGTTTCCAAAGCAGGGCAGCAGCTGCGAGCAGTGCAACGCGCGGCGGAAGATGCAGAAGAAATACCTAGATCAGATTGAGGAGCTATATGACGAGTTCAACGTCGTCAGGATGCCGCTCCTCGTCGAGGAGGTCCGAGGCAAGGAGAAACTCGAGCGCTTCAGCGAGATGCTAATCCATCCCTACGTACCGCCCGAGTAATAAGGCGCGGATGCGACACGGATCAGGGCAGGTGGTTTAAGGGGGTATAGCACGGCGTTACAAAGTCCCTTTTTTTGCTAGTGGGCAGCACCCAAGAGGACGGCCGCCCTAGAGGATCACAATAGAGGGAGAGACTGGCATGGATTCTGGCGTGTAAACTCATGCGGGCAGAGGGACCAGGCACGAGACTTCTCCCTGCTTGACGAATGATTCCGGCGTTGATAGAAGAGGGACAATGCGATACGACGTCGATATTCAATTTTCTGAGGTTACTCTAATTCCTCACCAACGGAATAATGGAATCAGTTAAATCATCTTCTACAAAGGCTCCTGTTTTTATTTTTATTATTTAATGGCTGGGGCATCTTTCCGTTCGCTGATATAGAAAGCTAGGTCGATTCTACTGCAGGATGCCATAAAACGAAAACCATTCAGGCTGAGCGAGGAGAAGGCGGTATATTTCGCCGAGGCCTTTTCGAGAGGGCGTATGGGACGCGGGCTTGGAGGTTATGCCGATGCCCGAAAGAGGCCTGCATAAAGTCTTTCTACCTACGCTGGAATGGTCATCGATGACACGTTCGCGGGCTTTTTGGATTTATGGATTTGTCAGGCCGGTATCGCGTTAATCTCCACCCCATAGGTCGACCTGTCAGCCCTGTTGGCAGATAAAAGGGCGCTTGAAGGGGCAGAAGGACACACTGCCATCGGTTTCTTCGAGGGGTACAACGGACCACCCCTTGAGACAGCTTCAGTTTGCGAGAGCAGGTATCAGGAATCGCTATTACTCCGTCCTCTCCTTCTCTTTCACCTCCCCTCTTCTTGGTCATGGAGGAGAAGCTCCTACTTCCAATCAAAGTGTACAACGCGCCGCACGGGCAGGGTCCGAACCCATGGAAGGTGATCATCGTGTTGGCGGAGCTAGGGCTACCGTATGAGATCGCGTGGATACCGTACGGAGAGATGAAGTCGGAGCCGTACACGCTACTCAACCCGAACGGGCGGGTGCCAGCCATGGTGGACCCGAACCGGGGCGGAGCAGGTGGCGTGACACTGTGGGAGTCGGGTGCCATCATCAACTACCTTATTGCGACGTACGACCGTGAGGGCCGGCTCCGGTACGGCGACGACCGCCTCGAGGAGAAGTGGCTCCTCCAGAGCTGGCTCATGTTCCAGATGAGCGGCCAGGGCCCCATGTTCGGTCAGAAAGGTACGTCGGCCCCGCACATACCTCTCACCCTCGATATTCTCATGCTGGCCCCGTCTCCCTGCTAGGCGTGGGTAGATGATACGCAGAAGGGGCGGAAGAAGAGGGGGTGAAGAAGAGGGAGGGAGAGATAAGGTGACGAAACAACTGACTCTTCTCACCTTGCGGAGCAGTATGGTTCACGCACTTGCACATCGAGCCGAACCTGCGGACGGCGATCGACCGATACGGCAACGAGGCGAAGCGAATCATGGGCGTGGTGGAAGCGACGCTGCGCAAGCAGCGGCAGAAATTACAAGCAGAGCAGCAAGCGGAGGAGACACCGGTGTGGCTCGTCGGCGACAAGTGCACGTACGCGGACCTCGCGTTCGTGCCGTGGAACACACTCCTCGACACGGTTTTCCCGCGCAGCGACGCGGGTATGACGCTGGACCTCGCGCGCGAGTTCCCTGAGTACAACCGCTGGCACCGCAACATGGCGGCGCGGCCGGCGGTGAGGGGCGTCCTCGCGCACAGGGAGGAGTGCATCCGCACCATGACGAACACCTCCTTCCAGGTCGTCGAGAGGCAGGCGGACGCGGCCAAGCTGCCCGAATATGAGCCCTCGGTCGGAGTCGGGGGGAACTAAAGAGGGACAGCGACGGCGGGGCAGCGCGTGTAGCAAGAGAACCTCGGGGGGCCGTCGTGCTGGGTAGATAGGCGTAGGTGATCGAGAGTGGAAGTCTTCGTGGTTAAGGAATTAAGGGGTGGACGTAGAGTGCATACTTAGCTACTTAGCCTAAGCGTTGGCATGCATGCCATTTACTGTCGTTATACCCATGCCTACCTAGGTATCTCGCTTGTTCTCTCGCTTCGTCCGGACTTCAGGATACGAGATACCTACCTACTCAGCGTAACGGGCCGGGCGGTAGGCATTGCGAGATACCTCCCTCCTCGAGATCTGTATGAGTAGAGATAGAGATCAGGGATAGGGAAGATCCATAAGAGGCATGGTAGAATGTTGAAGTATCTAGGTAGGTATGATAGGCTAGACAGGAATCGGAACTTGCCTGATCAAGTAGTCGTTGGGGCAGCTCACGCTAACCGCTTAGGGGCGGGAGTCGTAGTATGAAGTACCCAGTGTTAAATCCTCAGGAAGGTACGGAGTCCGACACTGTGAGGACGCTGGGAAGAGATTACGTAGGTAGGTATGTATTGAGGTGGCAGGTGGGGCAGCTTCTTCGACGCCCTCTCCGGGCCAGTTTCTCAGGGGAAATTAGTGGCGCCAGATTGGGGAGAATATTGGCGGGGTAGGCGCGGCGGGCGGTTAGATACCTAGGTACCTACCTAAGCTGCTCGTGCTGGGACGGGAGGGAAGCTTCAAGTTGTTGCAACACCAGACAACACGATTAGTACCATATATGATTAGTACCACACGATCAGGAGGTACCACACCGTTAGTACAACACGGCACCTACACGGACCTCCTACCTAGGTATACCTACCTACCGGCTACACCCACCTGCTCCTGATTTGCCTCCTCCGGTGCTCTGCCTTGGTCCGTCTCCCGCTGGCCCCTCGCCCAGCCGACATCCAGTTCCCTGTCCTCGAAGAACACACACGTACACATACCTACAACTGCTGGGAACAGCAAGAGGAAGAAAGCAAAAGAAAAGAATACTGCCCTGCCCGCGCCTCCACCCACCATGGCCGACGATATCCCCATCATCGATGCCCACATCCACCTCTACCCCGAGTCCGAGCTCGAAACCCTAGCCTGGTGCAAGCCCGAGAGCCCATTGGCCAAGCAGCACTCGCTAGAGGAGTACCGCGCTGCCACCGCCGGCGCCACCCCCCAGGGCTTCATCTTCCTGGAGACGGACCGGAAGAACGACCTCGAGGCCGGCGAGAAGGATGGCAGCGGCTGGAAGTACCCGCTGATGGAGGTCGCGTGGCTGCGGCGCATCGCCACGGGGCAGCCGAAGCCGGGCGAGGGCCACAGCGCCGCCGACAGCGAGCTGTGCCTCGCGTACATCCCGTGGGCCCCGCTTCCGAGCGGCGCCGCCGCCGTGGAGCGGTACATCGACCTCGTAAAGGAGGAGGCCGGCGATAGCTGGCCCAAGGTCAGGGGGTTCCGGTACCTGGTGCAGGACAAGCCTAACGGGACTATGACCGCGGACGGCTTCATCGAGAGCCTCAAGCTGCTCGGCCGCCGGGGCTTCGTCTTCGACCTGGGCGTCGACCAGCACAACCGCGGCAGGATCCAGCTCGAGGAGGCCGTCGAGATGATTGACCGCGCTCACGACGGCGTGCCCGAGGACGAAAAGGTCACCTTTATAATCAGTTAGTTCATTGCCTATATGTTTATCTACCCTCCCCCCCTCCCCCTCCCTCCTTCTTATGATGCCCGCTCCCCTATTTAAACATGGCACTAACTAGGAAAACCACGCCGCAACCTAGACCACATGTGCAAGCCAGACCTCAGCATCTACAACGTGCAGACGAGCCCGTCGTTCATCGCGTGGCGGACGGCGATGTTCACGCTGAGCAAGTGTAGCCGGACGTACATGAAGCTGTCGGGGGGGTTCTCGGAGATGCCCGAGACGCTGCGGCGGCGGTCGACCGAGGACATCTTCGACGCCATCAGCCCGTGGCTCTCCGTCCTACTCGCCGCCTTCGGCCCCGGCCGCATCATGTTCGCCAGCGACTGGCCCGTCTGCACCGTCGGCGTGCCCGGCCCCGAGGCCGAGGCGGAAGCCGGGGGCGATGGGGCGGCGGCGGCGGAAGCGGAGGGCAAGGGAGAGGCTGGAGCCTGGCTCAAGTGGAAGAAGATCGTGGACCGCCTCTGCTGGATGGCCTCCTTCGACGACGAGACCAAGAAGATGATCTGGGGCGGTACCGCTCTGAAGGCCTACGGCATCGAGGCCTGATTCTCTCCCCCGCTTAATTTTTGGTGTGGTTGGTTGCCCTGGTCAGGCTCTCTATACGTAGCGAGACCTAGCGCGGTCGATGGCAGCAGCAGTGATGGTGGGATGGACCGAAGTTGGCAAGACAATACAAGGTTGATACCATATTCCTATGTAGATAGGCAACTGAAGAAACCAATTATAATAAAATTGAAGCCGCAAAGAGACACGCTGAGAAAATTGTCCCGTCGCTATTAGTTGACTAGAGCTTGCCCGTCAGGAGGCGGATGTAGGGAGGGAAAAGGTTGAGTGCCTAATATACGTAGCGAAAGTATGCGTATTACGGAACATGCCGCTCTAGGAACGTCACGAAGGGATCACAACCCTTACATCGCCTCGGACGGGCTAGTAACGTGTTCCGGACTACCGAGCCCAGCATCTGATCCGGACGAGCAGAGATCACGATACTACGGACGCGGAGTGCGAGGCCCGGCTTATTCACCACCCCTGCATAGCAAGCAACGGTAACACCGGGGTAAACAGTTCCGTCAGTGAGGGTAGTGTGTCGTAATGGTTAGCTACCTAACCTCGGATAGTTGACCTTCTGAATCCTACGGTAGGGAGAGACGGGTCTATGTAGGTATCGACGTACAACCGGGATCCCCCAATATGCCGATTAGTATCCGGAAAGCGTGTGTGCTTTCTCTCTCTCTCTCTGTCTTTCCCGTCTCCTTTATATAATTATAGTATATACGACCCACGGTACCGCTCCGCGTTCCTTCTATCCCGAGCCTAACCCACCCGACCAAACGCTGTGTTGAAAAAAAAAAAAGATCCAACCCGACAAGTAGTGGAGATCCCTCGCTAGATGACATTATCCCCGCCGTCCGGCCTGTGGCCTTCTATAGAGTGGATGTGCGCCGGATCCGGATTACAAAAGGGCCCAGCAGAGCGCGGCGGCGACGAGCGAGAGGGCGGCGGCTCGTACGGCGGCGGGGGCGGGGGGCGCGGCGCTGGCGTTGGGGCCGCAGCAGGGGCGGTCGTAGGTGACGTTGTTCATGCGGGCGGCGACCTCGAAGACGGAGCCGGGGTAGCCGCCGACGTTGTAGTAGTCGACGTTGAGGAAGTTGGGGGGGCGGCCCCAGTCGCGGCGGCAGTTCTCGGCGGAGAGGCCGAGGCTGCCGGGGCCGGTGACGTTGTTGGTGACGTTGAGCTCGGTGCGGGCGGGGACGAGCATGTCGGTGCCGAGCAGGGAGAGCTCGATGTTGAGGTTGTGGTTGATCATGTAGAGCCGGCCGCGGGCCGCGTCGCCCGGCAGGTCCGGCGGCCGCTGCACCGTGCACGGGAACGTCGTGTCGACCGGGTCGAACGGCGTCTCCCACAGCTGCGAGAACTGGTCCAGCAGCCACGGGAACTCGGTCTGGTTCGCCATGTAGTCCATGAACATCACCACCCGCTGCCCCCGCAGCACCATCTCGCTCAGCGTCGGCCAGTCGTCCAGCCCCATCGGCACCACCGGCGGCGTGTACACGTACCGCAGGATCCCCGTCTGCTCGATGTACGGCACGTAGAAACTAGGGGCGGAGCTGTGCGTGGCGCCGCGTTAGCCGGCTAGGTTTCTCGGACGAGAGGGGAAAAAAAAAGAGGAAGGGGGTGGGGAGATCTCACTAGTTCCCATTCCCGAGGAGAATGGTGACCACATCGTAGGGGTGAGAGGCGACCCAGTCCTTTACCTGCGTCAGCCAGTCGGTGATGGGCCCGGCGTCGAGAATGTCACAACTCGTGTGGCAGAAGTGCGGCTCGTTGCCGCCGGTGGGCCACTGTATCTGCGCCTGGATGAATCGTACGCCGTCGTTCAGCTGGGACGTGACGTCGTACTGCTGGTTGGCGGCGAGGTTGTTGGGAGTGATGAAGGGGGAATTATGGCAGGCGACGTTGGTGATGTTGCTGTACTTCCGGCTACAGAACTCGGGATAGTTGTTGCACGGCCGTGTGTTTGTGACTTCCGGCACGGGGGGCGCGGTCGACGTGGAGTTGCCGGACGCCGTCGCCGTCGTCGTCTTCCCGGCCGAGCCGGTTAGAAAGGTAACCGTCTCGGTGGCCTCGGGGGTTGCGGTGGTCTCGGTCGCGTTCTCGGTGGCCATGGAGCTGGCTCCGTTGTCGACCGATCCCAAGGTTCGCTGCGAGGCGAACGACTGATACGCGTCGGACGGAGTCGCGGCCTGAGTCAGGGAGAGGGTCGAGTCGGTCACGGTAGTCCTGCTGTCGCTGATGCTGTCTTGGCCGAGCACGGCGGCCGCGGCGGCCAGGAGCGTCAAGCTCCCGAGTCGCAGCGTCATGGCCCTGTCTTCACCTGTCCTTCCCGGTCGTATGGGGGAGTTGGCTACACCTGGCTAGACCGGAGCGAGGTAGCCAAAAGACGTCTAACAGCTAGAGCGTTAACAAACTTGCAAGAGAGGGAATGGCTTTCTCCGCTCTTAAGACGCGTCGGAACCGTATAGTAAAGGGAGGGGAAAGAAACCGGGAAAACGGCAACGGCTTCCAAGAGCAGCTTGAAGAGAAGGGAAAAAAAAAAGTTGACATCGCACCTCGACAGTTCAGGTTCCCTCGCAACCCCTACTTTTTAGGACCCTGAGTGGGCTCCCGTCACAGGCGTAATCGTGGCCAGGCCGGTACGAAGGGAGTACATGACGAGTACTTGGACCCGGGGCGCCTGAGCCACCTTGCTAATACCTTAGGTACCTACGTTAGGTGCTACCACGGGTTACCTATCTCGCACGGGCATCACCGTCACAGATGCAACATCGAGAACAGGATCGAGGCGAGAGGGTTGGCCAGTGGGCGAGTGGCAGCCGATCCCTCGCAGACTGCAGCGACGATCACAAGCACGTCGACTCGACGGAGGCGGCACTGCATGCCCGATGTGGCTGTCGAAGGGTGTCGACGGCACGAGGTATCTCCTATTGACCTACCTGGGGGTGGTACAGGTACTGAGAGGTATGCCTGTTATGAACACTACAATTAAGTATCTCTGAGGTAAGGGCAGTTTATCGCCGTACAAATGGAGATACATCCCGGTTTTTAATTACTGAAAAGCTGATCGATATCAAATTGCACCTCTTGCGTTTCCACTGCTGTTCCGTGTGTACGTACATATATGCACGTACCTAAGGTATGGGTAGAGGTACGCAGGTAGGTATATTTAGGTAATATTACCTCGAGCTGATGTACCTACATTAGGAGACGCCTCAGGGGCGCTGTCATGTCATGCGCCCATCTTAAGCTCTACTCATCCCTACCGACTGAGTAGGTGAACGAGTTGCCCTCTCGTGATGGCCAAACGAAACATCCATCCACGTGGCAAGCACATGGTCCCCCTTTCTTGACACCCGTTGACGAGAGAGAGAACCGTCCTGTCGCCGGCGCCTGATCGGGATCTCACCTGGACCAACCGTCGACCTCGTCCTGTTCTTGGTCCGCCTGATCGGGGCTGAGCACGCCCGCCCGCGTCATGTTTCAGACCGCATACGGCCTGGCGGGAAAACCTCTGCAGCCAGAGGAAACCCTGGCGTCTGGTTCAGTGTGGTGGGTCATCCGCAGTCCGTCTTGGCGAGCATGGATGGACGGGGATGGCGAGGGTTGGCGATGGGCTGCCCGGCAGTCGGGTGCCGTAGTCTATCGCAGAGGCGAGATGCCATTGGCCAGACCGCCCAGCGCCCCGGCAGCGCGCCCAAGTTCGCGGTCGACAAGTACGAGCAATGTACTGCGCCGGTACCCTTTTCTATACACGCAGGTATCTCCCACAATGGGGATTACGAGGCCCCAATTACTTGACGGAGATGGATGGGATGGGTCGGGATGGCGAGCACTCTTCCTGACACCTCCCCTCCTCCTTCTTCTCTCCCTTCCATCTTGGTCGACTTAATTGTCGATCTCTCACCGAAGCTCAGAAAACAAGCTCTTTGGCTGTTTCGTTACCCTGTTTCCTTTTGTCTTCCCATATCTTCTCTCAACACCACAATTTCTTGCTTTCTTCTCCTTCACGCGTGGCCCCCTGACGAGGGTCGATCCTTGATCGCTCTCCTCGACTGCCGGGCTAACCGGCGGGCCTTTCCTCTTGGCCTGTATTTGTTTTATTTCGTTCTATATTCTGTCTGTCTCTCGTTGAAACCGTTTGCGTAGATCTTACGGCCAGATAGATCCCGCACCTTCTGCCGTTTTGGCTTACCTGCTGAGATCTAGTCGTCCCCGCTGTCACGATAACGTCTCGTCTCGTCTTTTCATCCCCGCGAGCCTGTCGATCGAAGATGGCCTTCGGCTCCCTACCCAGGTCTCGAAAGCGACAGGCTGCGCCTTCCTCTTCCGATTCCCAGAAGGGAAGCCCTCGGCGAGGCATAGATGACCCGGTTATCCTGAAGCGGGCAACGAGAGTTCGCCGTGGCGCCATTGCCGTATCGTGCTTCTGCTACTTGGTTGCTGTCGTGCTGCTCATCTTGGTAAGGCCTCTCGTCCCCTGTCGTCACAATGCTGTGTGTGTCTAATTATCCCCGTCACGTCATAGGTCGAGGTGGGCAATACGCATATCTCCAACGTCCAAAGCGATATCTTTTTTTTCAAGCTTGACCTCTCCGACATCCTCCCCCAGTCGGCACCCACGAGCTTGACCTTGCAGAACTCCATCGCGCGGACGCTAGGCCTCCACGATTTCTACCAGGTCGGTCTCTGGAACTTTTGCGAGGGATACGATACCGAGTACGTGGATTGGCTCTACTCCATTGGCTAGAGAATATCCTGACTTACGCGTGAATTAGTGGCATTACGTACTGTTCGACTCCGACCGCGCTCTACTGGTTCAACCCCGTCGAGATTTTGATGGGCGAACTCTTCTCGGGGGCATCGATTGCCTTGCCTTCCCAAGTGAACGACATCCTGACCATCTTGCGCATCGCCTCGAACATTATGTTTGGCTTCTTCTTGACGAGCCTGGTTTTGAACTTCGTGCTGATGTTTGTCGCGCCCGTCGTCTTATACTCGCGATGGTGGAGTCTTCCGTTCTCCTTCTTCGCCATGCTCTCCACCCTGCTGGTCCTGGTAGCCTCGATACTCGGCACCGCTATGTCTCTGATCTTCAAGTTTGCTCTCACGTCGCAGACCGATCTCAACGTCAATGCCGAGGTCGGGACGAAGATGTTCGCGTTCATGTGGTTGGCGACCGCGTTCACGATGTTGGCCTTCATCATCCACGCCGGCTTAGGCTGCTGCTGCGCTACACGTCGAGACGTACGGACGGGACTCAAGGGAGGGCGGTACCACAAGCAGCTAGCGGCGAACAACGATCCCAACAAGACGGCCACTTCGGGTTGATGGAGTGTCTGGACGAGATCAGGATAAGACCGTCTGATCGATCGATTCTCACGGCGGTCGGTTAAGCGATCAGTACGCGGGGCGGTCGCCACGGATTATTTGCTTTTTATGTATAGATTGGGGGGCGGCGTTGGTAATAGGATACTGCCATTAGGAGCCCTAATGCCTGCGGCTCGGCATGGCCATGATGTCTCATCGCTGAATTGTTCCGGCTGGGGAGATAGGTACAGGTTTTTGTCGGGCGGTTAAAGTGGCCCAGATAGAAGCCGGTGTGGGAAAATCAGAAGTGACACAGGTTATGCAGATACTACGTGAGGTAGCTGGGCTAGTTCCCCCGGATAGCGAGGGGAAGTTTAGTACTTATATGTGCGAGAATACTTACGATCTCGGCCGTTTCAGCTCTTCCAGGTGTCTCGGGTACAACATGACCCGGCTACGAATGCCGGACGACCGACCTCATAGATAGGGTTGTGGAAGAAATATGAGTAGACCGATAGTGGATAGGTAGGTTACATCTTTTATAGTAGGTACATATCACATTCTACACCTAAGATGGGCTGTGTTTATGTATTCCTGCCCGAGAACGAGGGTTAGATGGTCAGGTTCAGTCCTGGGCGAGTGTGTCAGTAGCATTATGAGTACGTCGCGTCGTATCGGCCTTTACCCCCTCCCCTTCCGGATAAGGCTTCAGGCATGGATTTAGGTATGTACCTACGTACCCAGTATCTTCAACAGATTAGGAGAGGTAGGTCGGTACCTAGGTACCTACATAGGTATGTACAGTATTCCCGTGCGGGGTGGGAGCAAGTCAGCGCCACGTGACTTGACGCGGCAAAATATGCCATCGAGTCATGGTGAGATCACGTGCGATCGGCCCTGCCTAAAATGTGTATCTGACTAATAGGCAGGCCCATACCGCCGTAGCCGGCAGGCACAGATGAATTAGGTAGGTATGTGACTGGGTGCGTGATGTACCCAAGTACCTGCCCACCCACGCCTCCTCCGGACATGTATTTCAGGACTATCGACGCTAACTCGGATTTCCCTACCTCCACTTTCTTTCCCCGTCCATCCCTCTTCCCACAATCTGTTTCTCCTCCGTCTCCATCCTCTCTCTCTCTCTCTCTCTCTCTCTCTCTTTCTCGCTCACTCCTCGGTCTCTTCCTCATATCTTCCACTTTTTATCCCTCATCTTCTTCTCCTCATCACGCCTCTCCTATCACAACACCACACGCGCTCGCATTTATCGTGCATGCATCCATCGTTCCCTACTTCAATACTGCGACCCTTCGAACTCAATACATCTACTCTCTGCAGTCTTCCTTGACACGATTCCGCATTTCCGCATTTGCGACCGCACACATCGCGCACCCCAGGGAAGACCATCCAGCCGCCCCAACAACTCGGCGCACCCAACCCGATACGGCACCATCGTGATCGTCTCCCTCATCCGAAGAACCAGCGCCTGCGCCACCGCCAACGTGACCCAAAGCATGACCGACTCGGCCGTCGTGAACTAACCCAACACTGTGCCTAGTGAACCTGTAGTAGGAACGGCAGGAGGTCTCTCGGGCTAACAAGACGAGATTGATTACGGTGATCTGGTGTCGTGGAGTGGATTTCGGGAGGGAGATTTCTGCCTTTCACGCGAGACGCAAACTCACTTGGGTGGTCAAGTCCGCTCTTTGGCTTTGTACATCATACACGGTTTCCTTTCTGCCGGGCTTCAAACCCCGTCGTTGTTCTTGAAGTACAAACTGAATTGATACCAGTCTTTCTCCTTGCCAGTTGGGCCCCTAGAAGAAGAAGAAAAAAAAAGGACAAGAGCTAAGAGTCGCAATAGCCATCCTGATCTTTGCAAAGACGACAGCAACAAAATTTATACAAATCCTCCCCCCTTGAGACTTGCGATACCATTATCTGTCTCTTCTCAGTTGTATTCCTCTCTCCCTCTCTCTCTCTCTCTCTATTTTACCTTCTCTCCAGTATTACCCCTCCCCTCACTGTATCATCACCTGGAGAGCATATCGCTGTCTCGTCCAGAGATCTCGTGACATCCATAAATATTACAGCTTCATATCCCCGGATTCTATCCCACCATGGCTTCGTCTGTGTTCTTCAAGTTCAAGTCCCAGAAGGAGCCATCGCGTGTGGAATTCGATGGCACCGGCATCTCGGTATTTGAGCTCAAGCGTGATATCATCGTAAAGAGTGGCCTCGGCGACGGTACCGACTTCGACCTCGCCATCTACTCTCAGGATGGAACCGAAGGTAATTATCACACCCCTCTTCCAATACTAAGTTAATCAATTACTTGTACTAATAAATCTATAGAGTACGACGATGACACTACCATCATCCCCCGAGCTACTACCGTGGTAGCGCGTAGGCTTCCCTCCCAGAAACCGGGCGCTGGCCGTGCTGCGCGATATGTCTCCGGCAAGATGCCCGCGAGCGCCAAGAACTCGTCGCGCAGAGAAAACACCGCAAAGGCGCCGAAGCCCACGTCGACCGCCCTCTCCCAGATGAATGCCGCGATGACAGAAGAGGAGAAGATGATGGCCATGTTCCAAGCCCAGTCGGACCAGTGGGACCTTCAACAGGAAGAGATGTCACAGTAAGTTAACCCTCTCCTATTCTTGCCCTGTATTCTACCCAAGCTAACTGGGCAACTAGTCAAACGGCAGTGTACAAGCCGGGCGCGAAGAAGCCGGCCAACGTTCCTGATCACGACCCTCCGAATGGTTACATCTGCTACCGATGCGGACAAAAGGGCCATTGGATCCAAGTATGTCCTACCAACGATAACCCCGAATTCGACAATCGCCCTCGCGTAAAGCGAACGACGGGCATTCCCCGCTCTTTCCTGAAAACCGTGGATAAGGCGACACTCCAGCAGACTGGTACAGACGGTGAGGAAGTGAAGCCTCCGGCTGGCGTCATGGTCAATGCGGACGGGGATTTTGTGATTGCGGAGCCGGACAAGGCCTCTTGGGAGCAGTTCCGGGCCAAGACCCAGTCATCGGCCGCTGCCCAGAAAGCAGCCTCTGCCGAGGATAAAGAGCTTGAAGACAAGGGCTTGATGTGCTCCATCGACAAGAGGATGTTCATAGACCCAATGAAGACACCGTGTTGTGAGAAGACGTATTGCAATGATTGCATCACCAATGCTCTCATTGAGAGCGACTTCATCTGTCCAGCCTGCCAGGCCGACGGTGTTCTTATCGATGACCTCAAACCCGATGATGAAGCATCTACTAAAATTCAGGATTACCTCAAAGAGAGAGAGGCGCCTAGGGCCAAGGAGCGATCTAAGAGCCCTCCTGCAGCCAAATCTCCTCAGGCGTCCGTTCCGAAGGAGACTACCAAAGCTGATCCGCCAAACGGACAGGTAGTAGCGCCCTCCGAGAAGTCCAAATCGCCAACCTCAGCACCACCAACAAACAAGTCCCCCCCCGTCGAGGCGGCGAAGAAATCGTCTACCCCCATCGCTTCACCGGCCCCCAACGAAGCCTCCAAGCCGCAAGAGGCAGCTTCCAAGAAGCGGCCGGCCGAGGATTTGCTGGAGAATCCCAAGATCCCGAAAGCACCCAAGGCCATGCAACGAGCGCAGGAGGCCAAGGAGGTGCAGAACATGATACCCCCAGGCATGAACGGCATGTCAGGCATGATGCCCAACATGATGCAGTTCCCTATGAACAACATGGGCAACTTCGCCCCGCCCATGAATATGGCGATGATGATGGGGATGAATCCCTTGATGAACCCGATGATGAGTATGAATGGAATGTTTAACCCTCCGGCCTTCCAAGGCATGAACGGGAATGGTATGTTTGGTGGGGGCAATTTTGGCGGTATGAACGGCGCTGGAATGGGCAATATGAATGGCACCGCTGGGATGAATGGAGGATTCAGTAACCAGAATCAACAGCAACCACCTCGACCTAATTTCACAACACCTAATAGTGATAATGATGCCTATTTTCGCAAGCCTGTAAACCCAGGTCGTCACCAGAATCGACAACGAAGGGTTCGGCCTAGCGATTATAGGGAGTTGTGAAGCTGAGCAGAGCCGGCTTTCTCGTTTCCGCGGACGCGAACACTCACTCACCAGTTGCGTGTTCGGCCGGCTGTCTTCCATCATCACGGTGGCGCTCCCTACCTCGCAGGTTTCACGACTGTAAATTATACGACACACTCACGATGCATCTCGACCAACGAGCTTGGTCGCCAGGCGTTAGGATTGGCATGAACTCTCCACCATTGGACGGGAGAGCAAAAGTGCGAAGATAAGGAGATATGGGCGTTTGGAGTTAGGATGAAACCCTCTCTAGGACTGCATAGGCGGCAGCAAGATCGATGCATAGGTTTCTTCTCCTGGGGGATTATTTTGACGTTTTTTTTTCTCTTCATCGTCACCCTAGTCACCAGGCAGAGTAGGGTGGGCTGGCGGATACTCTCAACGCCATCATTTAGATGTTTCCCCCTCTGTTAGCAGGAGAGAGGAGGCCGGCGATCGACTCCTCGACAGGAGCACGAATCGCTAATGACGAGCTTTTTTAACGGTGCCGATCAAGGCTCCTGAGGACAGTTTCTAGAATACGTGGATCTCGGTCCACTGACCCAATATACGAAAAGTTTTGCCAGTGAACCATCGCCCCGAGATTGAGCGTTCTGTGTATGAGTAGTTAGTAACCTTGAGAACTGTGCGATGCCCTTATTATATCATGCCCCGTCATCGTACGCGTATAGACGCTTGCTACCTCTCGCCTCGTAGACGTCTCTGGTCCTCCCTTACGTAGAAACCGAGTCGCCCCTACCCACCACCACCACCACCACCACCACCAATCCTAACAAATCTCGACGAAGTCTTCGCAGATATACTATACAAACCGTCCACATCATCTCCCCAGGCGCGTAGACCCTCCCCCCTCCCCTGTCCCCCACCGAGACGCTCTCAACTACCCTCCCTCCTACCACCCACGGCTCAATCTCAGTCCCAGTCGCGCTGTCGGCCGCCGCCCTCCCCCCTGGCACACCACCCGCACCAACACCCCAACAAGCCTGCTCGCTCGCTGCTCGCGCCCGTCGCGCAGCACCAACTGCATCGCCCCGCCGTCGCCAGCCCAGGCAGGCAAGCAAGCATCCCACACACGACACGACACACGCGATATCCCGTCCCCCCCCCCCTAGCCCCAACGCCCCCCCCCTCGCACGACGACTAGGGGTGGAGGCCGCGTAGTTGCAGAGTTGAAGGGGGGGAGAGAGGGGGGGAGGGGGCGGTGTAGTTCGTGTGCCGAGGACCCCGCCGCGCAGGCGAGGAGAAGGATAAGGGGAGGGGAAAGGGAGGGAGGGAGGGAGGGGCGTGCATGCGTTGGCGAGAGGGCGCGGCAGGCTGGGCCGGCTGTTGCCCGCGCGGTATTACGGGCTGCTGCGGCGCTTCTGGACAGGTAGGTGCAGTTACCTGCGCTGCGCTCGCGTCGATGTGTCGGTGTGTCTGGCGTGATGGCCACGCTCCGGTACGGCCCGCTTTGCTGCGCGATGCATCGCGCGTACCCTTCACGACGAGGCTCTGGGCTCTAGAACGGTTGTATGTATTTAGGCGCTTCTTCGGCTGGCACAAAGGTACACCCTCCATAGGTAAGTCACTAACAGAAAGAGAATGTCTACCACGGTCACATATGTCACGCAGGGGCAATGCACAAAGTATTGCGCTAAATTTCATTGATAGACTCAATTGTCATCTATCTGCGTTTGGGATGGTAGCTATGTACTTTGCATGTCTTATAGCATCATCTCCTCATTAACCTGTCCTTGGCTTGTCCTTGTCGTCTTCCTTGGTGAAGTGGTTGGTACGTTGGTTAATGTATACGGCTAGCTCGGACCAGCATAGAAAAGTTGATTCCGAAGCCGTGGTCTTGACGACTCTTATCCAAAAATATCCCCGCGAGCCGTTGTTGTTCCGGATTCGGACGGGCGGGGAAGAGGAAAGGACGCTCGTTGTGTTTCTTGGCTGGCAAACAGGTCGTCGAATTTCCCGCTCTCGCCAGTGCGAGTAGTCGAGGAGAAAAACAGACCGATGCCCCGATGGCGTTGTCAGAAACATACAGAACGATCACACACACGACCGAAAGCGATCGTGGGGGGGCCGCAGCATCGACCCAGCTGGGTGGGCGCGCGGGGAGCGGCGGGACCGGATCGGCAAGAACCAGCTTGCAATCGGCGCCCGCTGCCACAGACCCGCGCTGTTGCAATGGAACAACCTGACGAGCAGAGCGGAATAAAAACGTGATGCTCTATGCCCGTTAATGAACGAATAGCCTTGATAGCTGTCGTCGTCGGCTCTCTGGTGTATTAGCTGCTGCTTGGTGGGATCTCCCAGAACCTGTAACTCTTCACGATCGCACCACGATGCCGTTTCGGCGGGAGTTGTGGGGGACGTAGTTCTCCTCCTCGCCGCTCGAGCAGGAGCTGTCGCCGTCGCTGTAACCGCAGCGCGCACCGCCGCAGTCGATCTTGACGCGGTCGCCCTTGCGCGTGATGCCGTACCTCTCGCAGGTGCAGCTGCTGTAGTCTGAGGCGGGCGTGCTGTAGCCGGAGAGCGACGAGCTCGGCGACGAGCTGCCTGAGCGGTAGGAGAGGCTGGAGCCGGATGACGAGACGGGAGAGCTGGAGATGTCGGAGATGATATCCTCCTCGTCGAAGCCAGTGCTGCCGAAGCGGGCAGTTAGCTCCTCAATGGTCTCGTCGTCGCAGTAATCAGCGTCCAAGATGTGGCGAGTCGCGTGGGGCGACATGGGCTTGGGTGCGACGATCTGCGAAACGGAGAGGGGGCGGCCCTTGGGGATGTCGGCGTGGGAGGATCGCTTGGAGCTGTGCTTGTCCCTCGACGAGGAGTGCCTCGACGAGCTCTTGCTGGAGCTGTGGGACTTGGAAGAGGAAGACTTGTCCTTGGGGACGTCGAGGATGTTCAGTTCTCGGCCAGTAGTGGGCTCGACGGTCGAGGCCTCACTGGGGTTGTGCGCGACGTGGTATCCATCGATGATGTAGTAGTACCAGTATCGCTGGCCGAGCTCGAGGTTGCCCTGGAATCGGAAAGTGCCCTTCCACGAGCCGGATTTGCTCGAAGATTTGTCCTTGGAAAGGGGAATCTGGCCAACGTAGTTGTCCCACGAGCCAAGCAGATGGACGGACTTGACGCCAGAAGAAACGCGGAGAGAGAAAGACAGCTGAATGGTCGCCATTATGATTGAATGTTGTTGCAAAAAGTTGTCGTTTCTTTTCAAATAATTTTAAGGGGGGGGGCGTTCTGAGCAAGGGAAAACTAGTTTCTCGTTCTATTAGGGGCGATAGTGGTGGTCGTGAATTAAGGGGTTAGTTGACCAGCAACTGCGTGGTATGGTATTTTTTGATTTTGGCGGAAAATTAATTAAGGTGAGAGCACAGCTCTGTGAGTTGAAAGAACAAAAAAAGAAAATGGGGGAAAGAAACAAGAAACTAGTCTTTGGGGGTTGAGTGCTTGCTGAAGAAGAGAAGAGAGGAAGGGAACCAGAGAGAGGAGGGTTGGGTCCTATTATATTAATGAAGGGGCCGTATAGTGACGCCGAGGTGCGACCCAATATCGAGGCCAACGTCCAGGCCACCACGCCATAGCTGGGGGACGACAGCCTGCAGTGTTAGCAGCACTCCGGCCGACCTGAACACAAGAGACGCACATCCATTGCTACCACAGCCGGAGGCGTGGGTTCGCCCATATTGGGTGGGATGGCGGCCTCTGTTTGGCCGGTACACCTAGGCGGACGTAATATCCCCTCCTCGCTTGGCATCCCAAGCCATTCTAGTAACCGGTTCTGGGAGTGTACGTATGTCAAGCTGCATGACGGGCGGCTAAGCAACAGGGTGGAGGGATGCGGGTGTACTATAGAAACATTGCGTATAAACACGGGTACCAGGGACGGAGGAGAAATAGGACTCGGGCGGAAGACAAAGGCCAAGCTAGACGGGAAAAGGCGATTCGGCGTCTAAATTCCCACCGTCATTGGCCAGGAACGATATGCCGGCAGCCAATATTACAGCCTTCGCCCATCACACATCACACCTTGACGTGCTGCAGCAGGCGAATCAGAGGGCGTGAAGGCCAAGGTGCAAGAGACAGATCAGTCGTGATGATGGCAGAGGGCGGCGGGGGTCTCGGCCAACAGACACGGTACCTCCTCCATGTAGACGACGATGCGTCTTCGTGCATCTCCCTTGCAAGCCATCACAAGAAAGTGATTGGCGAGCAGCCTCGACCCACTCGCTCGCATCAGCCAGGCCAGCCTCGCAAAGAGGGGAAACTTATGTATGGTACGGACTCGGTGGGATCGAAATGAACTGCGCTGAGGCCGATCTCGATGGCCGTGACGCACCCGCTAGGCTCGTCGGTGGTCAGCATGCCAGATGCCTTCACCACTCAGCGCCGTGATTGGATCGAGACGGGCAAATGCGATCGGGGCGATCTATCCTGCGGTCCTCCTCGTAAAAGTCGAAAAGGAGCTAGAGAGCAGAATGGGAGTGCTGGGGACGATGGGTCGGCTCGACTCATGATCGCCGCTTTGCTGCTTAGCCGGGCGCAATGCTACATAGTAAGAGGCCGGGGTCGTAGGATGCTCTCATGCAGGCCATCTCCTCTCGCTGGCTGCGGCGGGTAACTGTGCATATTCACAGTATTGCCGTTTCCGGTCTGCCACAGGGAAGAGAGAGAGGTAGGGAGGGAGAGGCAGGTGGTTGAGCCCGCCCGTCCATCCACCGGGAGGGGAGGCTTGGGAGGGGAGGGGAGAGGGCTGGTAAGGCCGGTGATGCATTGGGGATGGATGGATTGGGGACGGGACAGGTTGGGGGGGGGGGGATGGGCAAAGTGGAAGTACCTAGGGGAAAAGCCCCGGACAAACTAATGCCGTTATCTACCTATGCACTACCTAAGATGGTGGGCTACTTAATGGGTTTACGCGCATTATCGCGTATGCGATAAGCGATGTTAGGTTTCCTGCGCCGCGATTGGCCCGAATGCCTGCCGCAGATCACATGATCCGCATTGGCGTGGCGCGTGTATGCAAAATGCAACTCGGCGATCACAAACTCCCCTCCTCTCCCTTGACAGCCTCCAAGCCAGTATGGACCTACATCACAGCAGCTGAATGGATACGTACGCGCATACACGCCATCGCGTCCTTGGCCTTACTAGCCCGTTTATTCTTGCCTGCCGGCTGCCGAATTCGCCTACCGCGGAAGATCCAGGTTCGCTTCTGCAGCCTACGGGTGCCGCCTTGCTTCCTCATCAGCCGGTCCTCCTCCAAGATCCATCGTAGATTGGAGTCCCCACCCACCCCGACAGGTTCGCAGGGAGGATGCTGGAATTCCCAGTGCCTCTTTAAGAAGCTTGCGAACTGGGCAAGACGTCCCGTGCGGACCTCCCTGTCGTTGCCGGCCTTGCTCTGGCGCTTATTGCTCCAGTCTTCGCAATCCATCTGCGGGTTGATGAAGAATTTGGCCGCGGTGGGTCGTCTTGTGAACGGAACAAACGTACGTAGGGTGTCAACAAGCGCGTATCTACCACTGCTAACCTGTCAGAGCACTAGCATAGCCGGGTGTAGTAGTGGGGTATCATGGCTGCAACTGATCCTTTGGCCGAAGAGGGCCTCGTCGACTCGGTCACGGCCTATGTCAGAGCGTACATGGCAAACTACGACGGCTCCCATGACTTCAACCATATCCGGCGGGTCGTAGGCCTTGCTAAGTACATCCATGCTCACTCGCCGGAGACGCCGGCGCGCGACCCGCAAGTGGTGGTTCTCGCTGCGCTTCTCCACGACGTAGGGGATAAGAAATACCTGAAGCCAGGTGAGGATGCTTCCACTATGGTGTACGAGCTTCTCCTGTCCCTAGGCGCCACCGAGCAACTGTCCAAACGAGTCCAGGCAGTTTGCTTGGGCGTTAGCTACTCGAGCGAGGTCAAGGACCCGGCTCGGGTACGAGATCTCATCAAATCCCATCCGGAGTTGGCCGTCGTGCAAGACGCCGATCGACTTGACGCCATTGGAGGCATAGGCATCGGCAGGGTGTTCACTTTCACTGGCGCGCAGAAGAAGGCCTCCATGGCGGACTCGATCCAGCATTTCCATGACAAACTTCTGAGAATAGAGGGCATGATGAAGACAGACGTCGGACGAGAACTCGCCAAGGTAAGAACCGAGAGGATGGAGGAGTTTCTTAAGTGGTGGGCAGAGGAGGCAGTTCTACCAAGCGAGCCAGCGGACCCCGCTCCGACAGAACAATCAGCCAGTGCGAGATGGACGATGAGAGAATAGACAAGAAGAGAAGACTCTTGCGTCTCCTGATGATTTGAATAATAGTAAGCAGGCTGGATGAGGAAAAGAGCGACGAGGCAAATACATAGGTACTACTTTATCCTCACCGCCTCCCGATCACCGCCTCTAGATTGCGGGTGAAATGACAAACTGGCCCGACTCATCAAATACAGATGCGTATCGATGTTTTTTTTTTCTCTTCCAAAAGCTGTCCGACCTAAGCTGAACCCTTTTATGCACCATTATCACCTATATAGTAACCGTCATTAGGCTGGGCCAAGCCAGCTCTCACGATGTGTATGCAATACAAAATGGCGCGTCGTGTATATCCATAACTTCACGTATCTTTACCTCCGGGGCCACCTTACCGAAATTCATTACAAAGTCCAGGGTGACGTTTTCATATGGCAGTTCGCCATAATAGTCGTATGGATATGCCCATTGTGTATCGGGTCCTCCTATATCCACCTTTCTCTTCTGCCAATCTGGCGTGGTTGTCAGCAACGAGACGATGAATTCTGCGACGGACCGACCTTTTCTCTGCCAAGTGTCCCATAGGCGGTCTATGGCGCAATGATGAAGCCAGAAGATAGGATCTGCTGGCGAAGAGTATGTGTTTGACATCTAGACAGGGTACTGTTAGTTCTATGGTGCGCGTATTGGCTAGGGATACTCACTTCTCCTATTTTTCCGCCTATACCTAGATGCCCACCAACATGAATTGATATCCCGGAGAGCCCCAGCTCTAGGCCCTCGATCCTATGGTCGAGTTCAAAATAATCAGTCGAGTTTAATATGAACTCGACAGTGCTTTTATTCAACGACTGAGTCATCAGCCAGGGGCTCATGTCTCTTCGAAGACAATGCGGGTTGTATTCGGTATGGTTCCCAGGCCCCATGGAGATATTCGATCCTGCGAAGGGTCCGTCCGCAATACATCCTTAAGCACGCTTCGGTTAGCTTCAAAGATTGGGGGAAGAAAACTGCTCAGGGGACTTTTCGCCATCTAAGGATAACTGGTTAGCTTACCTCCACCTGACCTCCCGGGTATGTCTATCCCAGTTTGCCACTCCTCTGGGAAGTAGCTGACGTCCTCAATATAGGGACCATTCCCTTCATGTCACTTAGCGCTCTCGTTCAGAGTGCTCACAGGAATGCAACACCTACCTCCAAATCCGGTGTCAGGATGGAAGATTGGTGATTTTAGGATGGAGGTTTCGTTGTCAGAGTCCTGCGCCCAGCCTGCTTCTAGTGTCAACGGCAGCCTCTCTCTCTCTCTGTGGCTTAGAATTATGCCACGCACCCCAGTATCTGTACTTGTGAGCAGGATACCATTCGAGCAGGTGAGAAGGACACGCACGGTAGGGAACCTCCATAAGAGCATTCCTTTCGGAGAGCTTGTTCAAATTTCCACAAGTAGTATCGGTGCCATCTGATGAAGTTAGAGATGTTACGGCAACGCGGCGAGTACTTGGCCTCTTACGGGAGGAAATGCCCCTTAGATCTTGTCAATGGCGAACACCGTAGACGACGAGCGATATGCTATAAGACTCACCACCCAATGCACATAATCAGTCTTAGTGATATGCAATGCCAGGAAGTCGTCGTATCGCGACTTGACTCCGGAAAATGTGTCGGATGTGTTCCCCGGTCGGGATTGGAGGCACTTCACCGCCGAGATGAAGTCCTGTTTACCGTCTTCCGAGAGCTCTCTCCTGGAGAGTACCAACTCGCTTGGTTAGCGACTCGCCAACGTGCTCGCCATAGTCTGGGGTGGGGCGATAGCCGATTACCGACTGAAACACACCATTCTCTCCGAATCAGAGGCGTCTCGCATTTTTCTGCAGGCTGTCTCGACGCCGGTCGGCCCAGGACACCACTCGTAATTGCAAGGGGGACAGACAGACATAAAATAGAGGCCCGCATCGTAACGCAACCGACGAGCGCGTAACTCTCCCACGATGCATTTCGCATACCCGGCAGGTCGGGAACTAGACACTAGCCAGTTTATACCCCCTGGCCCTGACCGCGGCGTGGTAATCTCACATGGTTGCTTGGTGAGCTAACTGATAGTATACACCGGTGGCTCTAAAGTAACTTCGATAGAAACACGGGCGTCCTAAACCTTGCAGCGAATGCTACGCAAGGGATGTTTGAGAAGACGATCTAAGGCAGGCCTCGATCGGGGGAACTTAATTAAGAAGAAGCAACCTCGTAACACACGCTTGGGTGGTTGCGGAAATCAAAAATTTAAAAATTCCCAGCTGATGCTGGGGCAACGATGGGATAACGAGATTCTCGGCGGGAGACGTACAAATTGGGGTTTATGAGGCATATAGGTCGATCCACGTACAGCCTTCAGCGACGCATACCTACACCTTTCTCCCCGCCAACTACATACATGAATTGGTCTGAATATGAAGTCGCGCAATCAGGGATGGAGTGCCGGGCCCGAGGAAGTGGCCCTTACAACGACTCGGCGCTCGGCTAGTCGTCATGACATACGTCTACAAGCATGACGGGGACCATCCGTCCACCCCAAGACCATTGCATTTCTGAGCAATCGGATGCCCACGTACCGGAGCCCCGATCTCTCCCCCCGACTTAGCCTTCAATGTCTCGCCCCCCTACTAGGTTTGCAAGGCATCTACATAACTACGGGGCCGGTTGGCAGAGAATGGGAGGGGTGCCTTGGAGCCTCCTTTAGGAGCTAAGGCGTCGGGTTGTCGAAATCCGAAAGACAAAAGCGCCACAAGGTCTATCGTTATTATGGTCTAGGGACAGCACCTTGCGTCTGCTTCCGCCGCCTCCCCCTGGGCAGAATTGCCCGATTTCCTCAATAGAAGGTTTGTACCAAAGAAGCGGAAAAAAAAGCAAAGCAATGCCCTCGAGAGGAAACACGCTGCATTTCGGTCGTAGATCAGGGTCTAACGGGTTCGATCCGGTCTACGCGCTACTAACTACAGAGGAACTAACTAACACACGGGCGCGGGCGAGAGTCGGCACTCTGGCCATCGCCAACCAACAACCCAAAGGATGTAAGAAGATTAACGGTGCAAAAGCAAGCGACCCTCGAGGTTTATCCCGAAAGGGTGCCCTCGAGGGATGGATACTTGGGACTCCCTTTCCACGTAATGACGGGAGGAGAAGCCCAAGTCTCAAAATTGCATGCACACGGACGGTGGGCAAAGCGAAACACTATTTCCCATCCACACATATAACCTTAACCGCCTCCTCTTCTCGCTCAGTAAACTTCAGGCTCTTTCGCCGTAGCATCTCCGTATGCTGAACTGCGTTTCCAGAGGGCACCCTCCATGATGAGATAAACTGCGAGCTATCACCACCTCCAACCGGCCGAGATGGACTTGGGTGGCATTCCGGACTTCCATGGGGGCGCGGAGATCGGCCTCAACGGGGCGCTGATTGGGCTCTCGACCCTGCTTTACGGCCTTCGCATCTGGGTGCGCGTATACATGACCAAGTCTCCCGGACTCGACGATGGGATAGCCGCGATAGCCTACGTAAGCCCCGGCCACCCCCGTTTACCTGCCCTGCTACGTCGCTCGGCACCTGAGAAAGGCGTCCGCTTATCAACTTGTATACGTAGGTGCTATTAGTGGCGCAATCGGTATTGGACATCAACTGTGAGCTCTTTCTCCACGTGCTGCCGCGACAACAGAAACAACGAGGGCTCTGACAGCTAACCGTTGATAGCCGTGTCGTTCGGGAATGGCGTACATAGGAACGAAGTGCCTAATGATCTTCTGCCAAAATTCTTTGAGGTATGTCGAGATCTCGTACCCTCCCTGCATCGGAAGTTGCATGAATACATGCTAATCTGCCTACTTACTAGTCGGTGACCATTCAAACACTAGTCGTGAGTCGCTTTTGGAGTCGTGTACTGGCCCTCAGGAGTCGGCTTCGGATGTAGGAGCTTGCCCAGCCCGGCCAGCCGGTCTTGGGGGTATTGTCCCCCGAGAGGTGCTTTATGAGGTAGAGGTCGGTGTGTGACGTAGCTTGCTGACCCTCGGTGTACCAGTACTTCTGGGCGTTGGCCATGGCGAGGCTCGCTATACTCGCCTTTCTCCCTCGACTCGCGCAAGACAGTAAGAGGCACCGAGCCAGGATGCTGGGGCGGGTGTCGCTAACCAAGTTATCTGTCCAGGGTGCATTAATTGGACCGCGTGGACCGTCGCGGCCGTAATTGTAGCGCAGACGCTCGTCGCGTTCATATACAGACTTACCGAGTGTACACCCGTCGCGTGAGTTGCCTGTGGTTCTCCGCTCTCCTCTCCTCTGAGGGGATAGCATGCTAATACGGGTTCTCAGAGATAATTTCAAGCCCCCCTTACTCCCGGGGATGCACTGCGTTGCCCTGGCGTCCCATAACAAGATGATGGTCGGCCATGCCGTCGTAGGCGTGGCCGTCGACGTGGCCATCCTCGTTCTGCCCATCTGGGTGATATGCACCAAGATGATGTGGTCTAAGAAGACGCTGCAGATCGTGCTGGTCCTGAGCGTCGGGCTCTTTGCAGCCGCTACCGGCATCGTCCGCCTCACCATGATGACGGCCGAGAACTTCTACGACGATATGTGCGTCACGTCCGCGAGGCCTCCTCTCCCCCGCTCCCCGCTCCCCGCTCCCGAGATAGAACCGGCAACTAAACGCACGCAGAACATATCAGATGGCGACCCTCGGCATCTGGACGAACCTAGAAGGCCACGTCGGCCTGTGGTGCGGGTGCTTCCCGGCGCTGCAGCCGATCCTGCGCGTCTTGCCAGGCAAGATCAGGTTCCTCGGCACGATGGACGAGCGCACCAAGCGCACGCGAGAGGGGCCGAGCAGCCACATGGGCGCCACGGCGAGGAAGGAATTCGACGCAGGCAGAAGCAGCATCTACGCGCTAGCCAGCGAAAGCCAGCGGGCGATCGTGCTGCTCGAGATGGGGAAGGACGACGCGGCAAGGCGAGACCGGGAGATGTCCCTTGAGCGGTAGGGTTCGTCTGGTGGGCGTGGGCGTCTTATCGGAGAGAGCTCAGAGAGCTGGCGGGAGCAGAGAGCGTGTCTGTAGATTTTGGGAAACGAGCATGTGCATTCTTACTGTTATAGAGGCCCAACAGACCATCAGATGTCGCCGTGGATGTGCCTATGTGTTCATGCACGCCTCTTGGTATTACATAGGTACCTATACCTAGTTGTTAATGATATACCTCCTGTCGAACTACCCCTACCTGTCCCTCTCTGCCTACCAACGCCGCCTGCCTATAGCAAGCTGCCTCGACGTCCGCATGCAGGTCTCGTACCCATCCGTTGAAGCAGCCAGGCGTACCGAAGGATCGTATGATGCGGTTAGGCACGAGAGAGGGCGGATTCGCGAACGGACCCGACTGGGTAGCGACCTTCCATCCAGTGTGCAGGCTCTGATGCCGATACGACGCGAGGAGCATTTCTCTGAACGCGGCCATGCGGGCGGTTCAACCTATACGATGAAGTAGGCTAGGCCTCTGTTGGCGACTACAGGGGTAGGATGGGGATCCGTAGGGTCGGGTACCTGGGTACTTGGCGTGGACATCTTCTGGATCCTCAGGCATCCAGAATTGAGGCCTGTGATTGGTCGGATTGCAGAAAAACGCGCAACAGCTAACTGTTCGTAAAACGCTGTATTTAAGCCCTTTTAGCAGTTCAGTTTTTACACCTTCAATTAATCAACTAGGTTCAGCTTTCAACACGTCTTGCATGCCTTACAATTAAGGCAGGGAGGCCACGGAAGTGAACCGCCAAAACGCACACCTGTATCAAAGATATATCTACCTACCTGATCTAATGAGTAACAGGTATACACACGTAGGCACCTGCTATTATCTGCTACCTGCTACCAAAAGTCATGTGCGTGGTGTCCATGTTATTTCGACATGTATACTTCCTCATGTGGTTTGCACAGCCTGCCTACAGGAGACAACTAACCAAACTTGGGTGCCTGTCGGTAGGCCCTTCAATGAGGCATGTACCTACGGTAATGTCACGCTAGGAGGTAGGTAGGTAGTACTTCAGGCACCTGTGAGCTGTAGGTACATATAGGCATGGCACTATGGTACACTACCTGCTTACGTGCATAATACATACCTAAATCCACGCCAACAGCGCCTCGTTGGATACTCGTCCGACGTATCTCTGCTTTCCCCTCCCCCTCCTTCTCCCCCCCCTTCCTTCGTCGCCGTCGTCGCCCGCCAAGCCCGCCTCTACGCAGCTAACACCACCACTATATGGCGGCCACCGTCGTTGGCCTCTCCTCTCGATCTGGTCCATGTAACTATATATCTGCATGCAGGCTAGCTGTCTTACGTGCCGGCGAGGAGGGTTGTTGGTACAACCGAGCTCCAAATATGCCAATATGGCCTGGCTGACATTGGCTGACCCGGCTCCCCTTCGCCAATTGGCTTCCTCGCTTGTCGATAAAATTGCTCGTCTGCGACCCTCGAGTGGGCAGGTCGCCGACGAGTCTACTGGTGGTAGCCTACGTGAGTCCTCGTTTTCCATCTACCGCGCTCTCGTCATCTACGCAGTGGCTAGAAATAATATCAGCTCATTCTCGCTCCGAGCCTCTTCTGCTCCCGTCCGTTTACGCGAGGCCCGATGCCAACTCTCTACTTCTCGACATTTCCCATTCCCCCTTCGTCGTTGGTTCTCCGGTCAACACTTGGGTCTAGCTAGAGTACGTTCGCTAGCCCTACGTGCGTAATTCGGCCGCTATAAAGCCAAGCGCGTTGCCCGTCTGGCGACTTATCTATCCTCACACAATGGCGCCCGAGCGCACCGCTCCCATCGTCACGACTGCGATTATCGTGGCATTTATAGTATCCCTCGCCGATACCGCCCTAGTACCTGACCGTGGTAGATTTGGCGTGATCGACGATGCGCCATTATTTCCTGATGCCGACTACCCCCCGGGCATGGGGCCGCGCTATTTCGTGGACCTGCCTGTCTCCGCAAAACCTCGCGCTGCAAGGCGCCAGCAGTCGGGAGCGTGCGGTGCAGGCAATCACACTTGCTTGGAGTTGGGACCTCTAGGCGAAGGATTGTGTTGCGATAACGATGCGGAATGCATCGTGCTGGCGGACTGGAGTGTGAGGTGCTGCCCGCTCGGGAGTTGCAGCGCCCCGTGTCATGAGACGCTGCGATACTGCAATATAACGGCTACCGAGACAACGACTATCGCTACTTCAGGGACGGTATTAACGGCCGTTGAAACGACTAGCCTGATACCTGCCTGCTGTGAGCGCCCCTGTTCTAGTTCTTCGTTCCTCTGCCCCCAGAATTTGGGTGGGCGTTGCTGTCCTTACGGTGCGTCCTGCCGTGTGGATGGTTCATGTGCCGCCCCTCTCGACAGCTCTAGTTCCGGGTCTGCGGTGATAACCCCTCTAGGGTGCACCACGTCACAGATCACATGCGCAGAGTCTGAGGGTGGTGGGTGCTGCAACACTGGCTCTACCTGTACCTCGTCTGTGTCGGCCACAGAGACGGTGGTATTCTGCGCACTTAACGGGACCGTCGTCCAAACCGGGCTCTCTGAGGCTGCCAGGGCAGGCGTTGGCGTGGGTGTCACTGTGGGCGCCGCCATTGTGATCGGCGCCTTGACGTGGTTCTGCATCCGGCGGCGTCGAGAGGCGAAGTCGCGGAACGGAGGTTCTACTTTAGCTAGGGGCACACGCGATGGCGATCTAGTGGACGAATTCATCGAGTCGGAGATCACGAGCCCTTCGAGCGGGACCGGCCGCCGACCGCGTCCACACCGCACCGGGCTTGCGTACCAATACGACGGGCCGGATGCTGTGGATGGTCCGTATACGGATCGCGAAGGTAGTAACACCCCAGGCAGGAGCTTAGCGGCGCAGCTCGGATCGAGCCTCGGAAGGGTTGAGCAGGTTGGCGTGCCTGCTAACCATTACCCGGAGCGCCCGGATGGGATCGTACGGCCAGTTGAGATAGACACTGGCGGACGGATAATTGAGGGCACGGGTCGTACGCCCGCTGAGTTGGGGGTGACTGAAGGCGACGGGGAGAAGTCTTCTGTGAGGGGCGCCGCACCTGCCAAAGACGAAGACCAAGAAGTGTTCGAGCTTTATGGCAGCCCTGTGCCCTCCCCGCCACCGATGAGTCCGAGTGAATTAGAGCAGCATAGAGCTGGGACCGTCTCGCCCTCACCACTGCCAGAGATGAAGGGCACCGGAGACCGTTGAGGGGAGCATTTGTGCGAAGACGCCAACCCCGATAGACTTATGATGATAACGAAGCATTTGGCATATATTACCCTGGCATTTGGCCGTAATACTGTAAGTAGGAAAGGAGCACGTGAACTGGACAATACAATGGACACGACTGCGTTCAGCTAGTCGATTGACAAGGAACGCCTCGCTTGCTGAGCATTCTTCCCTCGATTCCTCAACGCCAAAATTCATCAAACGTCATGCCAAGCAACGAATCGTGAAGTGACAAGAAAAAGAGAAGAAAAAGGACAAGACGTCTGCCAATTTCCCCCCACACCTGCCGCCTGCTTCGCAAAAGAATAAATTGCTATATTACTTCGCCTATGTTGCGCCCGTTACGACACTGGTGGAGAGGTCTTGGGAATTATCTGAGGGAACGGGATGGGCAGAAGAAGCAGAGCAGCAAGGGAGGGCTCGGACTCGGACTAGGGCTCGGATACTCGTATTTCCCGGTCTCGCCGCATCGACGACGGGACGTCCTCGCTAGCCTACGACGCCGCCGAAAGGCGCGTTCTGGCGCAGGTCCTCGACGAGCTCCTGGACGCTGCGCAGGTGGCGGCCGAGGAGGGCCTGCTTCTCTTCCTGGGAGCGGGTCTCGGCGACGACGGCGCCGCTGGCGGAGCCGGGGCGGGCGGCGGCGGCGGCGGCAGCAGAGGAGAGGTTGCCGAGGGCGCCGAAGGGGAAGGCGCGGGAGAGGCGGCTGGGGCTGCGCTGGTGGAGGAGGAGGGCGGGGAGGGAGCCGCGGCGGCGGGCGGAGGCGCCGGGGGCGGCGGGCTGCTCGGGCATGAGGTAGAAGTAGAGGAACTCGACGAGCTTGAGCTTGACGTCGCGGCTCGTCGCGCGGCTGCGGAAGAGCGAGGTGACGGTGAGCAGGCCGTCGAGGGCCTCGAAGGTGCGCGTGTTGCGCGGCGCGCCGACGAGCGCCGTGACGAGCGTCACGACGGTGGCGGACTGGATGGCGGGGCAGAAGTCGGGCTCGAGGAGGTCGAGGAGGAGCTGTTCGGGGCGGAGGGGGTGGGTTTAACCCTCGGGTTAGTCGGGAGGTGGGACGGATGGAGAAGGAAGAGGGGAGAGGGAGGGAGGGCATGAGTGGAAAAAAAAAGAAAAGAAAAAAACTCACGTTCATATACATCTCGCGGGAGAAGAGGGCCTTGCTCGGGGGGTGGAGCAGCATGACGCCCTGGACGAGGTCGAGGGCGCTTAGGATGAGCAGGTCGTTGGACCCGTCGGCGCCGCGGGCGAGCAGGCGGTCGAGCGTGTTGACCAGACGCAGGGCCACGTTCCACTCGAAGCCCTCTTGCAGCTTGAAGAACTCGCAGAAGGCGGGGTCGTCGGCGAGCTCGGCGAGGGTCTTGGGCGGCGCAGGCGACGGCGGCGGCGAGGGCGACGGCGCCCCCCGCACGGCATTGGCCCCGGCGCCGCCGTTCTCCTTGTCGTCCTCATCGCAGACCTCCTCGTGGCTCGCGAGCGACGACGACCGCCGGTGGTGGTCCCGGTCCCCGCCGCCGGCCGACCGCGACAGGCATATGTTGGCCAGCAGCCCCTCGACCTGGCGCAGCCCCTTCCGGATCTTGGGCCCGTCGTACGAGGACAGGTTGTCGAAGGCCAGGGACAGCAGGTTCTCCATCGTTCCCGTATACGGCTGCTTCTTACCCGATGCCGTGGTAATAATTGCTCGCGGTCGCGGCGCTAGTGATGGCGCGTGGATGCGCGCCGGCAAATGCAATGCGTACGTAGTTGGTACGTGATATTTCTGCTATACGATACGGCAGTTGGCGTTGGGGGGGGGGTGTCCGGGGAGGGGGGAGGGGCGCGGTCCGGGGAGATGAGGGAGGGGGAGATGTCAAACCGAGCCGGGGGGTGAATGGCGAAGGCGGATCAAAAAAAAGAGCGAAGGTCAACAAGAAAATGGCTGGGAGCCTAGGGAAGGGAAAGATTGCCTCGAGGCTACAGGCGCGCGCCGGCGGTGACTGCTAATACAAGGGAATGAACTGAAGAACGTTGGGGGGGTATCAACGGCTGAGGAGTATCTGGCCTCGCGGAAACAAAAGCTGACGAAAAGAATGGAAGGCAGGGGAAGAGAAGGAAAGAAAAGGAAGGAAAACGAGAGTCGGTCGCAATACATACACCTCTTCTTGCCTCTACGTCGTTGGACTCGGCGATGCGCCGGCGCCATTGGCACAGGGATCGTGAATGTTTGAGTGGGGAGCGGCCGTTAACACGGTAACGGTACGGAGTTCTCGTCGCTACCAAATCGGTATTCAATTAAGCGGGTTTATGTCCGTGCACGTCCATTTTCCCTAGTCATCTTTTCGCCTGTTATTTATAGGGGCGATAAGATTCTGCTTAGTAAGTGGAATAGCATTGTAGCTTATCGGCGACTTGCATTAAACGAAGCCTATTGGAATCCTTTAGTAGTATAGACGTGGATCTGATCTTGTGCGAAAATGGTGCAAGACAGCTATGAGACTCTGTCCGCGACTACGCCCACTACCTCGACGCTAACATGCTGTGTATTCAGCTGTCCTTTGCACATGTATGACGGGGCTACGCTTCCTGCTAGTCTGGTCAACAGCTAGCAATGCTCGGGAGCACTCACCGGATGCGGAATCGGACGCATGCCTTGCGACACCGATGGATAACTTTTCGCTTTAGTCTTTGGTTCTCGCTGCATCGTCACGTCAGACACCACCGGATTCTTCGGCCTTCGGGATTCAACAACTTAGCGTTTCGCAACGCAACGACGGCAAGCACCAATTTCGAAATACGATCGCTTCCCTCTCCAACTCCTCCACGGGCTGAACCTAAGTTTGATCGGAACAGGCCTTCCGTTCTCTGCCACTCAGATGCTCGTAAGGTTGAGGTCCTTATGGGCCAGCCAGGCGCGTATACGTGATCACTTCGTATCTTGGATGGCGTAACTACTCTTGAGATAGCCATCTAAGGTACAGGGGTGTCGGTCGAGCACAATCCCGGCGATATAGCCGTGTCGCAGGGCATCTGGTTTCTCTAACTCGCGAACGTGGCATAATGCACGTCTCCGTCGTCGTCGGCTTCCTCCGACACCGGCAGCGTCTCCTCGCAGCTAGCGACCTGCGGTGCCATGGCCATGGCGTCTGTCGGCGGGCATGTTAATGCGGATATCTTGCCCCGATTAGGCTTCAAACCACATCGATGCCGGCTGTTGGGTTACCCTAGTGATGCTGCGTGTCAGCTCCGTTGCCTTAACCACTTAATCTCAATCTCACACCCGCCCGCCTCCCGCCTCCATCCCTGGAAGGGTCCTATAAAACGCACCCAATGGTATGCTTCCCTTTGTCGGCGCTCTCTATGCTACGTAGCATACACAGGCATACCTCGTCCGCGGATCGATTGTAAGAAGGAAGATGTAGGTGGCATCGCATCTGTGTTTTATTTATGTTACCACGTAGGACCTCCCTAAGGGAGGTATCTGTGACATACAATTACTATAGTATACACAGGCTCGCCCTTTCCTTTCCCACGCTGGTTGGTGGCGGGGCCGGAGGCGCGCGTTGGGCAGGTCCAGGGAACCGCAGGGTACGCGGCCGATACTTGGCAAGGGGCCTGGAGCGATGGGGCCTGTGCGGGGTGCATGGGCGGATTCTCAGAGACGGTCGCACGGCTGGGCGGTATCTGATCCGTACCTGGGACGTACCTGGGACGCACCAAGGCCGTGGAGGCAGACAAGGGCGCGGATGCTATGCCTTTAGCGCCGATAGCTTTTCCGGTAGGAGGTACCTTGGGTGGGTACTGGTACCTTCGACGCAGGTCGGCCCCAGAGGGCTGTTCAATAAATAATGACGTTGGCCCTGGTCCTGACGCGGCGCCCGGCCTGCCGCGCATGTGAACTCGACGATTGCCCATCGACTGATCGACTAATCGACTTCACCAACCATCTGCTACGTTGGGTACATTATTGCGTATTTATCTAGTTGGCGCCCATCTCTCATCTTCTCCCGGCCGGCAGGGCGGGTCGCTATAGGCATCGCGTCGTTCGATAAGCCGGTAGTTTGCCTAAGCTACCCCCCCAGCAAGCGGCTATCCGATATTTTCGGGCTATGAGAGGTACCTGTCTAGGCAGCGACCAGAGCTACCTACCTAGCATATCTAACCTCCTCGGCCTCGGCCTCGTGCTTCTCTCGCCTGCTCCTCTTCCCACCCCTTTTCCTATCCGCCGAATCTTTCGGCTACGTTCTTGGCCCTTTTCTCGTCAGCGTTGCTACGCGAGTCGTGGGGACGCGACACGTCGTCCATTCTACGTTCTGCGGGCACGTAACTACATCGTATTCAAACCGGTGTCTCGGGGACCATCGAGCGTCCGCTGCCTCGGTTTGCTGAGCGCACCTCTGCCGACAAACCTACGAACCCGTCCTATCGTGCCCAAACGGCCTCGCGTCTCAACCTCACAGATCACACCGTGCCAGCTGCACGCCGCGCGTACTCGTAAGCATCCCACCCGCACGTTGCCCTTTAAACAAACGACTTAAGGCTAAGAGTGCCGGGTACGGTCCAGCTGGCGAAGCCTGGGAAACGTCCCTGTCCCCGTTTCCCTCCTCCGTCCCACCCGACCCACGAGACCCACGCCTGGGAACCCCCCCGTACTGTGCACCACAACATCTGCTGCCTGCCCGCCTGAACTTGCTGCGAGTTACGAGTCACATGTTACGGACCGAGTTTACTGTCATCGTACCATATCCGCTTCCGCACGGCTTAATTCCCGACATGGCTCCCAACGCGAGCAACTCTATATATCTCCAGTCGCCCAATGCCATCCCCCCGCGCACCTCTTCGACCGGCTACACCATCCCTTCGCCCCCAGCTAAGTCTGTCCTTCGACCTGTTCCCGAGTCCGACTGGCTCGGTCAGAATACCAACCATCGGCCGCGAAACGGCTCTACCACCGCCATCCCCTTAGCTGGCATGCATTCCACCGGACCCCAGGACCCCTCGCGCTTCACCACCCTAGACCTCAATTACACTTCGAGAAAAACATGGTCCGAAGATAAGGAGAAGGTCTTGATGGGTCCGTTCGAGTACCTGTTCGCCCACCCCGGGAAGGACATCCGCACCCTCATGGTGAATTCCTTCAACGCCTGGCTCGAGGTGCCGCAGGAGAGCTTGGACGTTATCACCAGGGTAGTCGGCATGCTGCACACCGCATCGCTGCTCGTGGACGACGTCGAGGACAACTCGGTCCTGAGGCGCGGCCTCCCCGTCGCACATAACATTTTCGGCACGGCCCAGACCATCAACTCGGCCAACTACGTCTACTTCTGCGCCCTGCAAGAGCTGCAAAAGCTGAAAAATCCGCGGGCGGTTAGCGTCTTCACCGAGGAACTGCTCAACCTCCACCGCGGCCAAGGCATGGATCTCTTCTGGCGAGACACGCTGACCTGCCCGACCGAGGAGGAGTACCTCGAGATGGTGGGCAACAAGACGGGCGGGCTCTTCCGGTTGGCCATCAAGCTGATGCAGGCGGAGTCGGCGGCGGACATCGACTGCGTGCCGCTGGTGAACCTGCTGGGCATCCTCTTCCAGATCCAGGACGACTACCGGAACCTGTCGAGCCCGGAGTACGGGCAGAACAAGGGCCACTGCGAGGACCTGACGGAGGGCAAGTTCTCGTTCCTCATCATCCACAGCGTCCGCTTCAGCCCGTCCAACTCGCAGCTGCTTAACATCCTGCGGCAGAAGACGACGGACGGCGAGGTGAAGCGCTACGCGGTCAAGTACATGGAGAACACGGGCAGCTTCGAGTACACGCGCAAGGTGGTGGCCACCCTGGTCGAGAGGGCCCGCCACGCCGCCGACGAGCTCGACGCCGGCCGCGGCAAGAGCGCCGGCATCCATAGCATCCTGGACAAGCTCGTAGTATAGGCGCGCGCGCGCGCGCGACCGGCGCGGGGGGTGTGGCTTAGTAGAGAAATGGGACGTGGCGATTCCCTCTCCTTCATTTGTTCATTTCTCTCCCGTCCCCTCTCTCCACCACTGCCTTTTTTTTTTTTTCCTTCCCCGCGAACGGCCTAGGCGAGAGCACATTCCGCTCTCGAGCCTACCCCCCCACCTCCTCCCCCCTTCCAGACCTTATCGAGAGCGAACGGTGCAGGAAATAATACACACAGACTACTGTTGGAGCGGCAGGGCGGGGCGCGTAAGTGATGATGACTTGTACAAGCTACGGAGACGGACAGAGAGAGCGTCAGAGCGGGCCAGGATCCCTCTTTTTTTTCGTCTTGTACTTTGCTTTTCATCTCATTTTGGGCTCCTCGTCGCGCACTGGGCGTAACTCGGAATGTGCGTTGTCTTTTTTTAATTCCCTTTTACGTATGTATGTACGTATGCATGCATGTACGGCGTATCCTCAAATGACTACGGCCTCTCCTGCCGTGCTTGCTAGGGGGAGAGGGGGCCTGAGGTTCGGCTTTGCTGGCTGCCTAGAGAGAGCAAGGGAGGAAGCGCGCAGAGGGAGGAGAGAGGAACGAGCGGCTTAGCGGGGGGGGCGTGTCGCTGAGCTGTCCTAGCATCGTGATCTCGTTGCAGACGCGGATCCGGGCCGTGCTGTTGGGGTAATTCAGGAAGGGGTGTGGCGTATGCGCGCTTCGGTGCCGGAACCGCGCCGGCAGGTCTGTTGCGTATTGAACTTCCTTGGCTTGACAGGCGTGATAGGCTTGGAGGGGGGGAGGGAGGTTCTTACGCGGCCCACGCCCCTTTTCTCCTTTCTGGAGGGGAGCGTCAATCTTTTTAGGGTGGTGTTTTCTTCTAGGTCGAGGATTGCGACCGCCCCGGGCGGAGAGGTACTGAAGGGCGCATGTCCGTGAACTTAGTGGGTCTAGCAATAGAGCTCTTTTGCGCAAGCAATGATATCGCCAGCCACCCGGAGGTATGGAGATCGTGCGCAAAGGGGGGGGGGGGGGGCAATTAATATCAAGGTTGGCGTCGGGGTGGGATCGAGCTACAGCACGGTCAGGAGGGCCCGACTACGTAGTAAGGCCTGATGTAGGATATCCAAGAATCCAATTAATTCGATTTCAACCACCTCCTCCGTCCGCTGCCCCATTCCGTATCACGCCTCCGTGTTCGGCATATTCTTCCGCTTCACGAGCCTCACCCACCGCCTGCGCCGCCACTCGCCTCGCCTCCCGTCCCCATCCTCGCCCTCCTCCCAGCTCGGCCGGGGTCGCGCTGCCCTGGCCTTGGCCCGGATACTGCCGTTGCTGCCGCTATCGTTGTTGTTATTATTACTGTAGCTGCTGCCCGTGTAGGAGGCGTCGTCGTCGACAACGCCCGCGACCGGCAGCTCTACGACGCCCACCCTCGCCGCCGCCGCCTGCTGCTGCTCGTCGTAGATGTCGTAGACCCAGCGCTCGCCCTCGGTCTCGACCTCGACGCCCGTGATGATGCGCTCCTCGACCCACTCGCGGCTCCAGAGGTCGAGCGCCCACTTCTTCTCGCTCCACTCCCAGCCGCGCGGCGGCAGCACGTCTTCGAAGAACCGTGTCCCGGCCGGTCGGCGCCCCGCGATCCGCGCCGCCGACAACGGATCGTGCGGCGACGCGCTAAACAGCCACGGCTCCCACTCGCCGCCCGCGCCTCCCCGGAGTCGCTGCAGCTCGAAGACTTCGACCTCGCGTGTCTCCGGCGCGCTGTCGAGCACTACGTCGCGCTCGACCCACCGCTCGACCCAGCTCATCGCCCGCGCCTCCTGCGGGTGGATGTGTCGCTCGTGTGCCGCCTGCAGTTGGCGCTGCGCCGCCGGGTGGCCAGAACATGTGACGGCCCAGCCGAGGGAGAGGAAGATGAGGCGCCAGGGGAGCGCGTTCGACGCGATGCTCATGAAGAGGCAGGCACCGAAGAGGACGGCGAAGAGGGCGCTGCTGAACGCCTCGTCGCTGAAGTTGGTGCGCGGCACGACCAGCTGCGCGACGGCATCGTGGAGCTGGGTGAAGTCCTCCATGCTGTTCTGGAGGTCCCGCATGTTACGGAAGAAGTCGCGGCTCAGCTCCTTTACAGGCTTGACGGTGACGGCCGGGGCTATCGGCGGGCCGTGAGGCGAGTACCCGATGGCCTGCTCACTTGACAGATTGAACGGCACGGCGGGGTGGCGCGCGACGAAGCTCGGCACAAGGACGCCGACCAGGAGGATTGCTAGCAGCAGCGGCGGCAGGAGGTAAGGGTCGAGACAGATGAAAGTGTAGATGGCGAGGAAGGAGAGCGTATGGGTGGGCTGGCGCCAGGACAGCAGGCGGATGACGCGGGCCTGGAAGACGAAGACGACGCCGATCCGGGCGTTGAAGCGCCGGAAATTAGTTGACATGGTGGTCAGGTTGAAGTTGGGGCGCTCCACACCGGGGCTGCCGCCGCCGGCGTCGCCCTTCTGGTCATCTTGCGTGGCGTAGGCGTCGTCGTCGAGGGGGACGATCTGGGCTAGCAACTTCTCGACAAGCTGGTCTTGGATCTTGGCCTTCTCCTTGAAGGCCGAGAATCGGCCGCGGAGACCCCGGCGGTGGTTGTGCGACTGGTTGGACTCGGCGTCGGAATGGTCTGCCTGGTTCGGTGGAGTACGGGGCTTTGGCGGCGTCGACCCGTCGAGAACGACAGTCGGGATAGGGTCATCACGGTTGACGAAGACGTCGGCGCCAAAGTCGTCCATTCCGGCGTGTTCAGCTCATGACAGTATAAATGTGCTTGACCATGAAAAGGGACTTATATCTGCCAAAAGCGAATAAGGAGTTTTGAAGGGGGGAAATGATTTAGCTGTTCGCCAGCCTGGCACCACAGGCCTCAATAAGGATATAGCATGATATAGGTAAATGAGGGTGTGGAGAGGGTACTATAATGCCACAGCAATACACTTCATACCAATATGTTAGGCTTTAGTATGTGGCAATTATGCCTAGGAGAGCCGAAGCTGGGGCGGTTTATTGGAACTGGCTGTGAAACTGAGAGGAAGATAGGGAGCGGGCAAGTTGGAGGATGACGGGTGACAGATGTAGATGCGTCTAGTTGAAGGATCACATGCCGAAGCAGATGAGGCTATGAGGTACCTACCACCTGACGTGAGAGAAAAGGTACCTGTAGCCAGTACAAGGTACATTTGCCAGGCGGCTCCAGCTGCTGGTGGGACCGGCAGTTGCCGTTTGTCAACAATTTCGATTCAGTGCCTGCGGTACCGAAATAGACTGAGGTGCCTGTGAGAGGTACCTACTGGCCTGCCTTACAAGCTATAGGTACCTAGCCTACCTACCAGGTACCTAAGGCAGGCATTGCATGATAGTGAGGCCGGTGACGTCGGTGTTATGTTATCGATAACGGCTTGGCAGTGGAAGTAAGCCAATAGCATGGCCTGCATTTACAGGCAGGTAGTAGTGCCCAAGGCACCCAACTCCAGGGGAGCAGCTGCATGCTAAGCCGCCTACAGACAGATTCATGGGTACCTCAAAAATACTTGGCGCTCGGAAAGCTGCAACGAAAAATATTCCCAATTTACCTCCCAGCCAAATCCCCAAAACACCACCAACAACGATATAAACGACGACGACGACAACCGCAACAACAGGAGCATAATCGTTACCCCCCACGCGACCACCCGGCCTCGAAGCTCGCCACCCCACACGATCTCCCCGGCCGCAAGATGCCGATTACCATCCAGCAACCGCCCGTCGATGCGAGCGACGACTCGGACGACCAGGACTCCGACGGCGGGGTCGACCTGGAGGGCGATGTGTCCATGGGCGCGCCGCTGCCCGCCCGAACGCGGAAGGCCAATCGCCGTGACAACGCCGTCGTGACCCCGGGCGAGATCATCACCGAAGATCCCCAGTGGATGCGGTAAGCCAGCTCCCGCTCCCGCTCCCGCCCTAGTAGCTCCGCACCCTCCCCCGCTCTCGCGAGGATCGAGGCAGACGACGGAAACAGAGAGGAGAGAGGGCAGAGAGACACGCTGGCCGCTGACGCTGACAATTCTCTGCGCGGCACCGCAGCGGGCACGGGACGTACACGACGGCGGACCCGCCGGCGATCGTGTCGTCGGTGGCGGGGACGCTGGCCAAGACGAACAAGCTGCTGTCGGTGCGGCCGCTGCGGGCGCGCTACACGCCCGAGATCGGCGACCTGGTGGTGGGGCGCATCGTGGAGGTGCAGGCGCGGCGGTGGCGCGTCGACGTCGGCGCCGCCCTGCTCGCCGCGCTGCCGCTCAGCGCCGTCAACCTGCCCGGCGGCGTCCAGCGCCGCCGCACCGAGACCGACGAGCTGCAGATCCGCACCTTCTTCTCCGAGGGCGACCTCCTCGTCGCCGAGGTCCAGCAGCTCCACGCCGACGGCGCCGCCGTCCTCCACACCCGCTCCCTCCGCTACGGCAAGCTCCGCAACGGCCTCTTCGTCGCCGTCGCCGGCACCGGCGGCGGCGGCGGCGTCGTCCGCGCCCGCCGCCACGTCTTCGTCCTCGACGTCTCCCGCGCCCTCGCCGGCGCCGGTGCCGCCGCCCCCGCCGCCGACGATTCCGACAAGGTCGACGTCGTCCTCGGCGTCAACGGCTACGTCTGGATCAGCAAGCACGTCGAGGGCGAGGGCGTCGCGAGCGCCGCCGACGACGCGGCCGCCGGCGGCCTCGTCACCCGCGCCGAGGAGCACGTCGGCCTCAACGTGTACTCGAGCCAGAACGACGCGATCCCGCCGGGCACGATGCGCGAGATCGCGCGGGTGCGCGGCGTGATCGGCGCCCTCGTCGAGCACGGCCTGCGCGTCGACGAGGACGCCGTCGCCGCCGGCTACCACGAGGCCGTCGAGATGGCGCGCGGCGACGGCGACGGCCCCGACACCCTGTACCTCGGCGGCGAGAGGGGCCGGCGGCTGGTCGCGGCGCTGGCGGGACGGTAGGTGCCGAGGGCGGCGAGAGGGGGGGGGGGACAGAATCTAGGTAGGTAGGCAGGCACGGATCGCTGGGCGGGTGGACCAGCAAGGAATAAAACAATACCTACATAATGATAATGATGCTGCGGGCCTAACGCGGCGGGCCTACGAGTGAGTGGAACGAGAGGAAGATAGACGGGAGGGGAAAAGAGGCATGACACCGGCGTTTACGTCCATACTGCGGTGCCCCTGCATACTAGGGAGAGAAGATGACGGGACGTCGACTTATCACACGTTGGCGTACGGAGACGGAACCCCATTCGGGTCCAAAGCCAGCCAGCCAGCCAGCTAGCAATGAGAAATGCACCCAGTGAAAAGAATGGATACGTGAACATGGGATTTTGCATGCTGATTAGCCCATCCTAACGGCGACTGCCGCTTCACGTGGCGTGGCTGAACAGGGATATCCATTTATATATATATATGGAGAGGACCACGGGCTCCTCGTCCTTCTTTTCTCTGCGCTCATTATACACAATTATGTTCCCATCATTCATTACACCTTGTATCTTGGACGAAGTAGGGGAAGACGACAGGTATTCCTTCCGCCGCTTGCTCGACAAGCAACAACCCATATGAAAGCGGTATAGCCACTTATCTCAGAGAAATGATGAAAAAAGATTGACCACCAATTACAAAATGAAGTGGGGGAATAGGGCTCCCCATCAAATCACTCATCCCGGGATTTATCTTTGGAAGGTAACGGGAAACACAAGAGAGCGAAATTAGGCTTTTCTTTGTATGGTGCCGGTTCCTAGTCACAAATTAGCTGGCCGAGTAAACAAGAGAAGAAAAAAAGAGATCGGACGTCTTCTATGGTATCACACCCCCCCCCCCCCCCCCTTATGTTTGGGTGTATATGTGTAGATGGGTGGCTACAGTACTAACATGGCGAGAAAGAGTCCGTCTCCTCCTCTTCCTCAAGAGAGCCACCTCTTATGTGCGGGCCAGTAGTTCGCGAGGGCGTACGCAGAGGCGAGGACAGTCATCCAGCGGAGCAACGCACCTTTAGCAGAAGGGCCTCCGAGTCCAAAGACGAGCCAGAGCCAGTAGCTGACGCGCGAGAGGGGTTTGCCATCGCGGTCGAAGTCGGGCCGCGACGCCGTCATCCACATGTGGCGGCGGAACTCGGCGGGCGAGAAGGGAGCGTACCGCACGCGCAGCAAGCCGTCCATCCACCCGGGCACCTCGGCCACCGTCCGTCGGTGGGTGAAGCAGTCAAACGACGAGCGCCCGTGGTACGACCCGGTTCCCGACTCGCCCACCCCACCGAACGGCAGCGTCGCGATGCCTCCGTGCATCCATGAGTCGTTGAGCGTCGCACCGCCCGAGGTCACCTGGCTGAGGACTGGAAAGGGGGTAGGTGGTTGCGGTTAGCGACGCGATCGATGGCGGGAATCATTACATCAGGGAACACTCACTTTTCTCGTTCTCGGCTTTCGACCCGAACGTCACAAGCGACAGGGGTGTGGGGTCCACCTTGTTCATGATCTTAATCGCGTCCTCGAGTGTGTCGTACGCCACCATGCCCCAGAGGGGGCCAAAGGACTCTTCCCTCATGACGGGGTCATCGAGGGAGTCGACGAGGACGACGGTGGGCGAGATGTAGAGGTCGGAGCGGTCCGTCTCACCGCCGAGCACGACCTTGCCGCTGGAGGTGTCGAGCATCTTCTTGATGCGGTCGAAGTGGCGCTCGTTGATGATGCGCGCGTAGTCCTGGCTCTTCTGGGGCCCGTCGGGGAAGAACTCCTTGTAGCTCGCGTTGAGCTGTTTGACGAAGTCGTCGACGATGTCCCGCTGCACAAGCACGTAGTTCTGCGACAGGCAGACCTGCCCGGAGTTGAGCGTCTTGCCCCACAGGAGGCGCCTGGCGGCGAGGGCCAAGTTCGAAGACTTGGACACAAAGGACGGGTTTCGGCCGCCGAGCTCGAGGGTGAGCGGCGTGAGGTTCTCAGCTGCCTTCTTGGCGATGATCTTGGCAATGCCCCCGCTGCCGGTGTAGAAGATCTTGTCCCACTTCTGGTCGAGCAGGGCGGTGGTCTCGGGGACGGCGCCGTTGACGACGAAGAAGCTCGACGGGTCGAGATAGTTCTCGACCATCTCCTTTATGGCCACGGCGGTGGCGGGCGCGTTCTCCGAGGGCTTGATGACAGCGGTACAGCCGGCGGCGATGGCGCCGACCAACGGGGCGAGGTTCAGCATCAGGGGGAAGTTGTAGGGGCCGATGATCAACACCGTCCCCAGGGGCTCCTTGCGGACCCGCGGCTTCATGGGGTAGAAGGTCAAAGGGTAGTCGAGGTCCCTGTCGTCCTTGACCCAGGTCTTCAGCTTCTTGAGGCTGAGGTCGAGGTCTTGGACCAAGTGGTGGATCTCGGTCAGGATGGCCTCGTGGGGGGGCTTGTGGAGGTCCTTCTGCAAGGCAGCCTGGAACTTCTCGGTGTAGTCGGCGATGCCCCAGTAGAGCTTCCGCAGCTGGACGAGTCGCCACTCGACATCCTTCGTCTTCTGAGATTGGAACGAGTCGCGAGCCGTGGCAACGATCTTGGGGATGGCGTCGAGCGGCGTGGCCTCGAAGGCGGACTCGATGCTGGAGGCCATGGCGATCAGGGAGAGGTGGAGGGAGTTGGCGTGACACGCGTCGGCGCTGGAGGGAGATTTGCCCTCTAGGGTGAAGAGGGTATGGAGGGGACGGGAAGCATGCAATCGATAGCGATAAGGAGCAGGTTGGCAGACACGGAAACCCGCAGAGAGACAGGAGCAGGTTTGGTTATATATATATATGCCTGCTTGCTACTTCCTGAGTAAGGTGGACGAGGTAGACGAGGTAGGCGCAAGGGAAGGGAGAGGTACCTAGGCAGTACCGAACCTCCAGATAGCGCCGTCCACTCTTCTAGGGCATATTAGGCAGGTAGGTATAGGTAAGTGTAGGTATATTCCTACATAAATCTGCCTGCGTGGGTACATTGACACCCCCTTAGATAGGCTACCTCACTTGCGGATTCCTGCCTAGGTACCTAGGTACCTATCGAACACGCTATCGCCCCTAACGCGTGATGTCCTCAGGCCATTGACGGACATGGAAGTGGAAGTGCGAGCTGTGCCCATAAGCCGCCTTCTCCTAGGCACTTCGTCGTCGGAGTCCCGACCGTATAGTTGCCCGCTCTAGATAGGTACGTTGACAATATCTAGCCGACTCGGGTGAATCCCGTCCGTGGTGTCGACATCCGGTAGGAGGTACCTATATAGGACTACGTGCCTCGGCACACGCCTGACGCGTCCCAGCTCATCTCGAACCCCGGCCTCGCATTCGGTTTGAACTGTGGTTCTTCCTGCTAAAAATACGCAGGTACAGCTATGCACGTGCTGAGCGCGATAACGCCGGTTTTGTACCGCAAGTTCCCTCCAGGCCGGGTTACCGATAGCGCAAATAATGGGATGGTAATATTGTTACTTTACGCATCGATTACCCTTACTAACCCCTAGTTACCCATGCTATACCTCGCTGCTATAACTTAGGACTCTTTATACATTGCTTAGGCTATAATTAGAAAAGTAACCGAAATTAATTTAAATAAAGTAAGGTTTATAATTCTTTTTTTTAAATTGTATTTTTATAGAAATTATTAACTATTTCTAACCCTTCTTTTTAATTATCTTAATAAAATCATAACAGTTAGTTGATGACCGTGCTCCTTGCTGCGTGGTGCGCTCTTGTTTTTTCTAACAAAGTAGAGGTGTATGCTTCTTGATTTGTTACCACATGAGGCGGTCGGAATATTTCTATGATTTCGATGGCCGCAGCTGACGTTCCAGTCATCGGATTCGGCAGCCCACTCTCTTCACATTGGCCCGGGTGAATGGACGGTGGTCGCAAACCCGGACGTGCCCTTCTCTCCCGATACAAATTCGCGTCTTGGATGAGCCATAGCGCTGCTCCTACGAAAAGAGGCCAGCAGGGTTGCTTAGCGTCGCAACCAGGACAGTAGGGGAACGTAGTGCGTAGCTTGTGCTCTGCTTCAGGCTTAATACAGCGGCAGGTCTCGCAATACAGGTCTCTTTGAATTAGTGGGCGCAATAGAGGCTTATATATGCGCCGTAAGCTTCTCCCTTTTCCGTGGAGTCTCTTGGTAGTAATGTTTCTAGGAAACTAGTGTATCATTATGGAATTTTCGGAAACGGCTGTCTTTGAAGAGTCGCATAAAGATTCGATTTGTGCGCCTTAGGCAGAACAGGCTAACGTCATCTGCCTCGCTCATGATACATAACAATATGTCATTGGTGAGATTGTATAGACGACTTTTAATAGGTAATGGTCACAATATGAAAAACATGGTAACGAAGGAGACAGTCGGGAACACTCAGGCTGCATGGCTTTGTATAACTAGATTGCTATAGGAACCGTACATACTTTTAGTTCTACCAAGGCTAATAAATTAGAAGCTCCAACTTCTCACATGTGGCGCGGCTGCTCGTCCGCCTTATTCCGGCTCTACTTCAACCCAGAGAGGCTGCAGACTACGGAAAGTCAAGACGCTTAACACTCGGGCCATGCATTATTATTTATCAGTCAAAAATCAGCCAGTGAACGAGCATAAAGTTCCAAGATTCTGCCTTCGTCTATCCCGCAAGTCTCGTAGAGGGTCGGACTCCGTCGAGCGGAGTTCATCAGTTAATACTCCTTCCTCCGGGCCGTTCACAAGTGTCATCGACCTCAACAGATTTTCTTACGGGGGAACTGCAACAGAATCCGACATTCCTTTCTCTTGCATTTACCCCCACCTATTAGTGCCCCCATTGAGGAGGGCTACAAGTAATAGTGGTATGACAAACCGCTTCACTGATCTCGCCCAACGCCACGTCTCCCCTGCCAGTATCAACAACCGCAGCCGAGGCCCTCAAGACTGTTTTCGCCATAACGCGGACATACCACTCTCCCACCCATGCCGTTCTTGCTGCGGAAGCTGAAGTTCCTTGCTCATAACGATCTTTACGTACTACAGCTAGGTAGCTCGGGACGGTATATCTGACGAGTACATTGGATTCCCCTTCCCTATATTGCCAAGTACGCACCTTGGTCCTCTTATCGGCAACCAAACCAGCGTTTTTCTTCCTCGTATTTTCGGTTTACGGGCTCATCTGACAGCTTATCAGGACCTGAGGTCATGTTAGCATAAGACTAGTTTAGATTGATCGGACAGTTCTCTACGAAAGGCATTTAAGTCACAAGCTTGAATGTCTTCCTGGACGGTCTGCTGCTTAATGCGCGCGTCGGCTTGCATGATGGGCTTGGTCTTCAGGCCTGCACAGCTATCGCCCAAGTATCCTGCATCCATGGCTTTCTGAAGCGAGTCGTCTTTCAGGCAGAGACGTAACCGCCGTACTGGCTGTAGTTAGTCGTGTCCCACGTTGACAGCAGTGGCTGAGTGGCCTGGAAGATCCCACTTTTGGGATTACACATCTCTTACGAGGCCACTCTTTTTGACTCTTGGCTAGAGTCTCCCCCAGCAGTTACTGTTTACCGATGACTTCAATTTCTCGTTGTTCTCGTCTCAATCAGGTGGATGAAATCACTTCCGGCTGGTGGAGGACAGTTGGTTGCTGGTTGACAATTGTTGCAGCCAGAGTCACATTCCTTCAAGCTGGCTCTCCACTGGTAAATAAAATATGCTGCAAAATCGCCCTGCCCGCGGGTATAGTGACTTATGTCATGTTGAGTCCTGTGGCCGCTGCGAAAGGCGCACCCGATGTCCCCCGAGATCCCGTGAATACGTCGGACGTCAAGCTTTTGGACCGTTCAGCCCCGCTCTAACCACACTCTCCGATGGCAATACGGATGTTGCAGCGATCACGGTATAAGTGGACAGCCAGGGCGGGGAAGATGATAAGCTAATGAGATAGATAATGATAGCACCTCGTGAGCTCAGCTCTGCTATCGCCGTCAAATGCCTTGCAATGAAGCATTGGCCGGAAAGTTTGTTGCTGAAATGTGACGGTTCAGAGGCCCTGTAGGTGTATCGATTGACCTTTGGCTGCCATGGGACTCCTAATGGACCTGTTGCTCGCCAAGTCGAGCAGGGATGTGGACCGACAGCTCTCCTGCCACAGTTTTGAGAACCGTTTCCTATAAGTCATCTGTTCGGCTACGACGGGGCCCCAGCCAAATTGTTAAACTACTGGAGAGAATCAGCTGCGAATGATACCCAGAAGGGAATGTGAAGTTATGTGTTTCTTTTGTTAAAATGCCAAGCAATGTTTCACGGTCAACTAACTATATCGTGCATCTTAAGATCAAACAGCAAACTCAAACGAAACTGCGGCAATTCAGATATCCCCGTTACAAAACAAAGCAATTTCACACATAACCCCACAGCCCAGCATGTCCAGTCATCCCCCGTCGGTTCCCCCGTCTGTATGAGCGACCTAAAAGTGGCATTTCTTAACTCATCCCTTGGCTACTAACCTCCCCAGCCCCTTCCTTCACCAAATTGGAATCCTTAGCATGCCTTGATTGTGCTTAAGATCAAAGACCACGGCAGGACATGCATGGATAACGGAGATACCAGCAGCCAGTGGTGAAGTCGCACCTGCATCCAGCAGAACGGACCGTATCGTAGATTGTGTGTCCGCAGGAGTACCGAACGCTCGTATAATAACATGTTACGTAGCTGGCGAGAGCTACGTGTGGCTTACTAGGTTGCGCGCAAAGGGAGCAATGGGGTGCGGGTGAGAAGGTGTGTGTTGACTGACTAGAAGGAAGGAAAGCTACTAGAGAGTGTGGAGCAATCTACGGGTACATATAGAAGTGCTTAACCAGCTTAGGTAAGCTGGGTGGTTCCTACTAGGGGCGCATGCCTACGTGACATAACACATGATGGTTGTTGAGAGAGGTTTGGTGGAGAAGTTCTGAGAGTTGTAGTTTTGTGAACTGAGTACCGAAGTTGATTTGGGTTTGGAAAGGCGACTGGACAGCTGGTGAGCGACGGTATGTGAAGTATTTCAACCTCGAGGTTAAAGGGTATTCAAGGTAGGAAAGTGCGCAGGCCGGATTGTTTGGGTTATCGTAAAGAAGGTCTCGAGGCAAGTGAAGGGACTTTGTATAGATGAGAAACTGTCGTTGGTCTTCCAGCGACACGGTATGCCTACGCCTTACAGGAGTCCATCTGTTGTAGCGGCCTCCGTTCTGCCTTGGGTATATTTCTATATTTCTTATTATAGCTCCTAAAGGCCTTCTGGAAATACCTAACTTAATATAGCAGGTGTATGAGACTGTGACTCTTCAGAACTGACCAGGCCGAGCAAGGCGCAGAAGAGTGCCCGTGGTCGAACACGGGCGACAGTGGCCGCCCCGGGGACCTGCGCTTCCGCAAAATAACTACAGCCACCCTTGACCTGGATCCATCTGCGGGGGGGTTTATCGCGGACTTTTCAGGCCCGGGGCCGAGCCGGGCTTAATAAGGAGCCTCAACATGCCGGCACTGTAAGGGAAAGAAAATGTGTTGTCGTGTAATGGCAGCGGTGGCTGGTACAAGCATGTGATAAGGGGATATACTTGGAATAGGTTTAATTTAACTAATAATTCTATAGGGGGTCTCTTGGGT